TGATATCTTTATTGTAATTTTATGATAAACATACATGAGATGTTTAATTCCATTGTATATGAGCTTTAAAACAATTTTAAAGATATAGATTTTTAATAATCTGCCGATCGAGAGTTAAAATGCATGCTAATTATATTCTATACATGCATGAGTAGTATATATTTTGCGATTTCTGATGACTAAATGACATGCGCGTCTAAAAAACGATCGGACTATTGCACAATTGTAAACAACGATTGTGACACTCCTCATTCTTCTCTCTGGCAAAACCAAAAATTATATTCTAAAATCTTTGAGGAGTTTAAAATAGAACAATCTACATAGTTTATATATTTTTGCCTTACAAATGATATGATAAAATAAATAAAATAATGATAAAATAAATAATGATAAAATAAATAAAATATTTTGTAAGAGCAATAAAATAAGAGAAGGATATTCTATTATAGAGATTGTAATTCCCCCTAGATTTCGAGATGCAAGATGATTGGTATGATCTATTATACATAGATAAACAGGACTGCTTATTAATAAAATAATTTTATTCTTTTTTTGGTTACACTATATCTGTAACAAATTGAATGTTTTGCTTGATATAATCAAAAGCAAAAAAATGGAAAGAAAAAATGTTATTAACATTTGTAAGAAAATTAAATATGCACTAAATGACAAACTAAAAATACATTATTATATACTTCATTATATAAAATTCATTATATATTTCATTACATATATATTTTTACAAAGACCAAGAGCCTATATAATAATAGTTAAGAGTTTAAAAAAAGGAGTCTCTCTCTCTCACACACACAAAAGAAAGTCAGATTATCATTATATGACATAATCGCAATAAGTATAGAAACATAAGTCGAATATGATATTTATTAATATCTTTGTCTATAACATGATATGTTGATCATATTCGATATTTATTATTATATATTTATATCTTATTAAAATTACACAATTTTAATACTTAACATGTGATCTAATATTTAAAAAATATTGTTATTTAAAAAATTGAAAGAAAAACAATCTTTTTATTGTGAAAACAGAAAATCAAAAAATGAATAGAAAAAGAGGAAATTTTATTTTTATTCCGTTATGTCGTTTTTTAAATAACATAATATTTATCACAATGATATAATATCTTTTATCTTAGAACGACTTATTTTTATAGAGAATATGTAATTTAATTTGGAAGTTTTAATGCAATTCCTAAGACAATAAATAATAAAAAAGTTTTTGATGTGTATTTTATTATTATACGAGTGAGAGATTATACGAGTGAGAGATTCTTTTGATTTGGCATAAACAGCTGAATATACTGATCATAATTAGCAATTTTATTAAAATTCTGTTATAATGTTTCTCTAAATGATTAATCGGTGAGAAATATGATTCATATCAAATGCTTTATGTGTTCATCATTACATGTAAAACAGACAAATACGAAGCAGAAGTTTTTAAGATACTCATGTAACTTTCGAGATCTACCACAATAAAATTGCCGGCTTGCAGCTTAATCGGAAACTGGTTCCACATCATGATAAACGCTATGTTTCTTGTCAATTTCACAGGAAGATTGTACCAAGCGCATTGATAAACCGACTGCGCGACTTCTTCCATTTGCGTTTTTAAATAATCCCCCACGATACTATATACCGTTAATTGTGCCAAAAAAGCGCTAAGTACCATAAAACTTTTCGACATCATACTAAAATCGCTAGTTGTTAATGCAACGATAAATTGAAATCCTGTAAAGACATATATATCCGTCTAATATAAATTTTTCTGTCACCTCACCTTTTTGCCGATGCACGAATGCACCAAAACAGCATATTCACCTACTATACATATAAGCATACTGCTGATAAACAATTGTACCACTAAAACAAAACTGACTATCTCAGCGAGCTTCCTAGCCATTCTTATCAAATGATCGTGTCTCAGAATCAGTTGCTTGAAACGTTTGTAAACATCCGGGCTCGTAACATCAAAATTGATGAAACTGGTCTTTAAAATTTTCAATTGGCCACAAATGTGTAATGTAATGTGAAGGAACAAAGAATCGCTACCTTAAAAAATTATTAATAATATTTTCCACATTCGTTGATGTGTTATTGGGAACATACATATATATATATATATATATATATATATATATATATATATATATCAAAGAACAACTCATATTACAAAAAAAAATTTTTGATATCAGTAAAAAAAATGTTTAATATTTTTTACACAACTCCTCTAGATATTTCATTTAACTCAAAATAAAAAGTTTACTTCATATTTTATAGTGATTAAAGTAATACATTCAAAATAGAAACGCAGAATTTAGAAAATTCATTACAAGACGTCTGATAAATATTTCAAAAATATTTTAAAAAATATCTGAAATAATATCTGAGATAAATTAATATTTTATATATATATATATATATATATATATATATATAATTATTATATAATTATATAAATTTATATAAAATTATATTTCTATAGATAAATGTAAACAATATTTATTAGTATTTAATAATTATTTATATAATTATTATATAAATTTATATATATATATATATATATATATATATATATATTTATCTAATTATTTACGTAATAATTTTTTATTTATCTTGTATATATTTATATATATATGACATTATTGCCAAATGATTTACCATGATTACTGGTGCACATGATCATCAGATAGATATATTCAAGCATGAAAATCACTAAATACGTGCTCTTCGAGATGTGAAAGTGTGCCAAAGTACATGTTGACGGAACAGCATATCCCGCCTGATGACCTAGAATGGTTATATTAATTTTACCCTCCTCGCTACTCACTGATGCATGTCCCACGATGAAGATGAGTGAATCGACATAAGTAATCAACAGCGCGATAATTGAAATCATCCTTCCCCAAGAAGCGTGCTTTTGTATAACGGCGCGCTTCTGCTCGGTGTCGATTGCAAGATAATCGTTCATGGCAGAGGAGTAATTGCAAATCAAATTATCGGCGTATATACGAAACCATATTATTTTTAACAAAGCGAGAATGCCACATGCCAAGAGCGTCAGAGCATCGAGATTCGCATTCGCGCCGGTACAATTGTAATAGAGCTCGAGAGCTTGTACGATCACTACCACGCTCTGCATTAGGAAGCAAGAATCGATCTATTTATTGCAAAGTTGCTTTATATTCGCTTTTTATATCAATATTATTTTCAACATTCAACCTCGGAAAAATCATAAAATATCATATGATGTATAAAATAAAATCATATAAAAACATATAATATATATGCTTATTAATTTTAGGATAAAACGGTATAATGTCCTGGCCAATGCTTTACTCATTGTTCAGACATGAGATTTTTTAATAAATGTTATTAAAACGGCATTGGATAATTCATAGTCAATCAGAAAACCGCACAGAATTGCTCCGTGAATGTGATTTTACATTAAAAAAATTATAAAATTAATAATTTTTAAGGAAAAAATGTAAAATTTGTTAAATATTTTTAATTATTTTCTATTCAATAAAAATCATCATTTTTATACATGTTCTTATTGTATTTCTAAGGCACATACAATTTATAAAATATAAATATAATGACAGTCATATACAAATGTTTTTCTATTCAATGTATGAGGATGCAAAAAGATGCAAAAAGCTCCACACTAGAGATAATATATCTTAATTCTATTATATAATATTATATTATATAATATTTTTTTAAAATTATTTTTTATTATTTTTTCAAATCACGAGTAAAATGTATAAAACTATAAGGGCGAAATAAAATGAAGAAGCATCGCTAGAAGCAATGATGAAGGTTAAGGCATTACAAATAAATGTTAATATTTAAAAAAAAAAATAAAAAGAGATGTTATTCTTATAAATATTCAATCAATATTTTTATAAAAGTAAAATATGAATTTTTGTTTTATAAAATTTTTTAATTTAAAAAAAATTATTTTTGTTGATTATATTTATCTGTGGCTTTTATTTTTCATCGACAGGGGGAAGAGGGAGGGAACGCCCTTTTTATTTTCAAAAAGTTGACTTCATAATTAGAATATTTTAATTAATCAAAAGTTAGTACAATTATTAATTGTAATATTAATAAATTTTGTAAATTTCAACTACCAATAATCTTTATAAGTGTATTTTATAAAAATTTAAACAAATGTATTATACCGTTTTATTCTATATTGAAAATAGAGGAGAAATCTTGATTTTTGTTGTAAAATTGAGAAACTTACCAACCCGCAAATAGACAAGATATGTCGAGCTAAAGCAAATTTATTGTATTCTTGCAAGGGCCAACCACCTATAGGCACAGTTAAGATTTTGAGAGGGGTCATAGCGTACGCCACTTCATCTTTCCATCCCATGGTTGCAATCAATTGGAACGACAGTTACTACCTAATGCTGGCCTTTATTCATAATCAAATCGATCCATTGCGGTGGAAGTTGCAATTCGCGGTTCATATCTTATTGAAATTGTGATGCAATTTAAATGCTTAACATATTATCAAAATGCTATATTATTTTCTCAAGTACAGTTGTTTCAACAACAGATGAGAAGACTTTTTTTATGAAAAAAGAACGAAAAGAAAAAAAGTCAGTTTTATTTTTCTTTCGCTTTTTCAGTTGCCACTGACTTGCTGTAGTTTCTTTCCAAAATTGCATATTTCGTTATAGATTTCATATAAAATACGATTTAACATAAAATACGATTCACAGTTTTTAAGTTAATGATTTTCAAATTAAGAATTTAAACACTTCTTTTATAATTTTTATAAAATAAGTTAAATTAAATCAACTAATCTAATCTTATTTAAAATATATATAATCAGTAAAAACGTATTAACTGAAAATATTAGACAATAATATATATTTACTAATAATATAATTATATTCTATTTTACGTATTTACATATATTCCCTTGTATCTATATTTGCAGAAAATAGCAAAATTTTTTTATTTATTAAGTGTCACCTGTAAGAACGATATATATGATAAAGTGGTTTTTAGGAGATCTGTCATAGTGGTTCGTGCGAGATAGAAAAATTTTCCGGCACTGATTCGAAGAGGGATTTTCATTCTCATCATAATGAATATCAGATCCTTCACCATGATAGGTGACATTTCATGCCACGTAGAGCTATATATGGCGTAAATGATCGATTCACTTCTATCCTGCAAGATATCACCGGCGTACGTGTATAAAAAGGTCTGTACTAGATAAAACTGAACAGACATCACCATTTTTATCATTTCTTTGTAATCGTGACTATTGAATGACAGGATAATTCCTATCCCTGAAAATTATATGTAAGGCATATATGTATATATACATCATTCTCAAGATTATTATATTATGATTTACATAATATACTATATAATAATATATTTTATATAAATAATAATAATCTTGAGAATGATAAAAATAAAAAAAATTGCATACATGTATACACACGTATAATAAAATTAAGTTTTTCATTAATTAATTTTAAAATTTATAAATATAAAAGATTCAGTTAATGAATCTTAAATTAATTAAAGAAAATTTTAATTATAAATGTGTATATATTGTAAATTTTTTTTTGTAATTTTTATTATTTTTATACAAGATTTTGTGTCGTCTAATGTACACAGTAAAAAATTGTGCGTTCATGTTAAAACTTTTTTTGTTACCACGTTTCAATTAGTACTTCAATATAAAATTAACATACACACAATCTATATGTTATTTTTATAACGTTTTCATGTGCTACATTTATGTCAACTTCATAACTTAACACTTTGTATATGTCTCTTAGAAATGGAATATTATTTTGAGTATTTTTAACAAAATAATTTTAAACAATTAACATGTCTCAAAGTCAGTTTAACATTTTAAGAAAAATTAAAGTGTATCTTGAATAATCTTGAATTTTGACATACAAAAATAATTTAATTTACTAAAATATTTACTAAAAATTTTAAATTTACTAAAATCAAATGTTTCTATTACAAATAATTTAAGTTAAAATAATTACTATTATATATTAATGTCCTCAACATTTCTTACGAGTTATTATAACTTTTTTTCATGTAATTTTTAATTATTTTGTATGTTATTTTTACATTATACTTAAAGTCACAGTAACAAGAATAAATGTAAAGTAATATGTCAATTATTTAACATTTTTAGTTTGTCAATAAGTAACATATGACGAATGAGTTATTTTAGCTTAAAATTTGGACTTTCTGAGACATGTGAAAAATGTTATAATTAACATTTTATTTTTACTGTGTATATATAGTTTGTGTTTATATAAGATCTCAAATGGATTAAATCAACGAATTTGTTTTAAAATTACTATGTTGAATATATACCTGAAGCTGCAATAACAACACTAATTATTGAAAGGCGTATCAAAATATTGATATTGAAAGCGTCTTCAATATTCCTAGTCAGTTCTATCAGCTGACAATGCCTTTTGACCAGTGGTCCGAGAATATTCCAACGATGTTTCTCACCATCGCGCTTCCCGCAGATCTCTATGAATTGTATTCTAAGAAGCTCCAATTGACCACAGAGATGCATAGTGATGCTGAAAAAAAAGTTGTCACATGCGCATTCGGATATTAATATTAGAAATCCTTGTACAATCTGCATAACATAGAGTGCCTTGTACGTGGAATATGAAACTCCTTTGTACATACACGTTGATGGAAGGACAAAATTCCATGCAGTGTTGTTATCTATAGTCGAGACCTATCGAAATATATATCCAGAAATAGAAATATAACACATATTCTAATTCTCTTTCGAAAAAAATGAGATATTCTTTTTATTACTAACTAAAGATGTTTTAGTGAATCTTATTCAATTATATAATCTAATAACGATTTAAGACAACCTTCTCTTTATTACTGAGGAAGACAGATGCGAACCATAGGATGCTCCCAATAGATGCAACGCTCACGTGAGTCAGGCTGACCAGTCTTCCCGTACGAGCATACGCCATCATTATCACACGGAACTCTTTTTTCGTGAACGAAATCAACCAATCGTCAATCGCGGAATTGATATTAATGGCGAGTTTTCTCATGTAAATTCGCGAAAAAACAATATTTATCCAACCATGTATGCAGCTTTCTATTAGACGAAGAATTTCCAAACCGTCTCTAGGAACGTCGCAGTTCTTGAGAGGTTCTATCAGCACGTTCATCATTGTGAGAGACTATAATAAATACAAAAATGCACTGTTTCAATTCTTCTTATGCTTTATTTTAAGTATCATATATATATATATATATATATATATATATATATATATTTATTTTCTATTATAAAATTTGTAAAAATGTAAAAATTATAAGAGTATCAAGATTTTATATAAGTTATATAAAATTTTACTTTATTTACAGACGTTCAACTCTTTTTATTTATCTAAATATTTATATAATATTATTTATATAAATAAATAAATATATATATAATATTTATATAATAATATTATTTATTTAATTGAATTTTAGGATCATTTTTTAAATATTTAAATAGATTCTTAAATTTTTCAATTTTTGCTCTACTAATTTTTATTAGGAAATTTGTGCATAAATGTTTTTTGTTCTTACCATTTAATAACTTGTATGTTGTGTGTTACATTATTTTATATTACGTTTTCTTACCGTTGCCGTGAACATTACAAGCCATTGAACAGTGTAAATTACACCATTTTGCAAAGGCCATACACCAAGGATCCACATCATCGATCTTATGGCAGAAAAGCCATAACCTATACCACTGTTCCAATTCTTCATATTCGGCGATTGTTAGTTTGGATCTCGAAAACGGAAGATTATAGTTGTGCTGAATATTATTCAGTTAAGTCAATAGATTACTTTTACCCTTCAAGAAAAATTGTTATTGTCTATACGCACATATCCCTTCCGCACACTGACCGATCTTTAGGGTGGTAAGATAAGTGACATGAATTTATTTACCGCGCATCTCTGTGGAACATTCGATAATGCGCACAATTTTCTGCATATAATATTATTATGTCAGCGAGGAGATGCTTACGATCAATTTACGAATTATATGATGACATCAAGTATAACAGTTCTTGTTTTTTACGAGTAAAAAACTCCTTTTTTATGCGTCTTTCATCATATTAAGCAAATCCAACAACCAACAAAATATTGTAGAAAAAACAGTGAAATTATATTTGTTTGTAATAAAAAAAAAAAAAAGAGAAGTGATGTAGAAGATCAAAACATTCAACAATATGATTTCAGTATTTATTTGAGAAAATGTTTGATTTCTTTAGCGATTAATAATTGAAAAATTATCTTAGTAATTGTAAAGAAAATAAAAATGCGCACATAAAAATATTTTAATATTTGTATATATATTTTAAATAGTATTAATAATTTTTATATATGATATATCTTCTGAAGATTCTCTCTTTATTGATTTATATTAATTTCTAAGTGTTATTCGCAAAACCAAGAGGTACGATTCCGTTTTGAGAACGTATATTATTGTCTTACGTAGAAAGATTTTCCCCCGGTGGGATGAAACGGATAGTAATCTCATCATCGCAAAGCGCAGATTTTTCATCAACGTGGCAGGAAGTGTGAATCAGGAAATCATGAATATTACACGGAATATGTATCTTCGTTTCTTCTCTATGTATAAAAAGTCACCGTAATAATATACAAGCGCTTCCATAAATACGAAATTCAAGACTAGAGTACTTTTTCGCTAATTCGATGTAATGTACTATTTTATAAACTGAATGTTATGCGTAATTCTGACATATATAAAAATATTATTTTAAAAAATATATATATATATATATATATTTATTTTAAAATAATATATAAATATATATATATATATATATATATATATATATATATATATATATATATGTCCAATTTGGTAAATTAAATTTTGGAAAATTTTGAATTTCGAAAATTTAAGAATTTTTTTATGTTGACCAGTGAAATGTAGCATAACAATAATGTGAAAACTGTTTGAAACACATTGCATTATATGTATATAATGTGAGCAATAGAAAATTTTGAAATATGATGAGTATCAAGCACCATAAGCTGATTATTATTTTATTCAATCACTAATCAAATGGGATTAGAAACATCCATTTCATCATGTACCTATACGCAATAAAAATAACAAATCATAAAAATAATAATAATATAAATATATATTAATAATAATAAAATAATATGTAGCTATTTTATAAATATAAATTAAAATAGAGCACAAAAAAGTTAAAAGATACAAAATAATATAATAAACAACACATAACAGCAAATAATGCCATAAATATAGTAATATAATAAATAGTTCTAAATTTTGATGATTTTGAATTTTATATATTAAAAGATCGCATATATTTTAAAAATTATGATAATGATTTATATGAACATATGGTATTATTTTTATTCCTCAATATATGTAAAGTACTTCAAATAGTAACATATAAATTAATATATAATAATATAAAACAGATTTATTCTTAGTAATTTTAGGAAAAATTCAAAAAAGTAATATTATGCTTTTTAAAATGAGATGTTTTATATAAATATTAGACAAGAAAAAAAGCTATATTATAATTATTATTACTCTTGTGAATTAATATCTTGAGATACTTTTTAATACTAATTCGACAAATGTTAATCACGAATTATCTTACTCGATATATATGTATCTTACAAAATCTTTATTTTACATTTATGAATATGACAGTCAATATATAAATAGCAGTGCATGTGAATGTTATGAATGATTATAATCTAAGTAAACATTTTGGATTTAAATGCATATTCCTGCATGATTTTATAAGATTCCTCATCATTCCTCAACAATCTTTATACAATCAATATCTCTAGCAAGCTTTCGTTGAGGGACAATAATATAAAAATTTTTATATATACGTTTTATATTTCTTGTATTGGCGTTACAATGAGTCTCAGTGAATGCCATGAATGGAAGCTAAATATTAATAATGATCCTTTGCCTAATCAACTAATAATGATTCTTTAAAAATGCTTTAAGAAGTACGGTTAATACATATACAATAAGTGAGTAGAAAGAAACAATAAAACGCATTTGTAGAAAGTCTTCTAATATCTGAACATTCCATGATAGAGTTCGAAAGTAACAAACACATCTCTCTCTCTCTCTCTTATTGAATGTATTTACCAAAAAAATTTCTAAAATGATACATACATATTGTATTTGTAAATATATATATATATATATATATATATATATATATATATATATATACATTTAAGAAATTAAAAAAAACAGCTGTTTATAAAAATATTTTATAATTCTTTCGTATACATTAATTCTTGCAAAATTAAGTATCATCATATCTATTTACTGCAATATGCTTCTATAATTTCTTTTTTTTTGCTCCTAACATATCATCATAAATGACATTAAACTCCATTGCATGATCGTGAACACTGTTTTTTTTGGAGCGGTCCTATATAGATTATTTTCATGAGGACTGTATGAGTGGAGAAGACATATATGATAATATGATATTACCGCTCTAAAGAACACGCGAAGATATTATGGTAATTCCAATAATTGAACGAATAATTCTAAAACTACTTACCTGATCGTTATGAGTAAAGATTCAATTTTTCAAATTTTATGTTTAATTTGTGAATATCATCTTTTTATTAGTAATCAACCGCGATAATAAAACGGTAAAAATTCATCTTTACTTACCCTCCATGACTTCGATCTTGACATATGTTGTCAGGATCATATTCCTAAACATGCAATAACATGCAAAAAATAATAACTGCCGCTCATTATTTACATTACATATTTTATTTACATGTCGTAAATTGAATATGTAAATTCGAGAGGGGTCCCTTCCCTATCGGGAATGCGTTTATTTAAATATTTAAAATAGTTTTTATTTAAATATTTAAAATAGTAATTATTTGTGCAATAGAAAATAAATGAAGTTATTTCATATCGCACAAAAAGATGTGTTTTGCACCGAGGACATGTTATTTTTCGACGAATTATATTATGATTGAGTAAATAACCCAATAATTGATTTTTGTACGTATCTAGTAGAAATTCGTGAAGTCAACAGCTTAATTATTTAATGATTTTCGATATATTGAATACTTTCCTTTCCTGACATGTAAGGATATGATTTTTATAAAAGTTTGTATAACAATAAACATAATAGCATGAGACTCGCTTTGCGTGGAAAGTTGCAAGTCCATATGGAGCCATACAATAATAGACATCGTATTAACTGCGGGCCACGGTCCCCCACAACATATGTCAAAATCATTGATGGGGGACAAGTAAAGGTGAATATTTACCATGTGAAGTAAGAGAATAATGTATTCGTCTATACATTGTTGTATATTTTCCTTTCTCCTACAGTCACGAACATAGTAAACTACGTTACAGTAGAGAGAAGACCGCGCGAGCAGTATGACAGCGAATGTGTATCGTAGCAATGAAAAAAATTGCGAATTGTTGACAGATTAAACAACTGTCTTAATGTGATTAATATTCAAATGTGATTAATATTCAAATTGGAAATATTTATTTCTGTGATTTCTGGTGGAGTCGTTTGGAATACATTTCATGATTACGTGTCATGAGCAAAGCGACATCGATACTACGCAGAAAAGTTGAAGTAAGTGATAATTATCGATATATTTAGACTGTATTAACAAAATACAGTAATATATTACAATGATCATCATCTAACGATAGTTTTAAAATGGAAAATAAGTTGTTATTTATATAAAAATATAAGAAAATGAGCACTAAGTGAAAATGAAATATCTCTTACAAACTGGCTGATATATATTTAAATCATGTTATATATATATAATTGTAACAAAGGCAACATGTTTTTTTCAAATGTATATATAATTTTTGATTACATGAGAGAGAAGAAATTGATGATTTGGCACAAATGGATAGTGATTATGATTAACTATTTTATTAAAATCAAATTGGAGGTAAATTTTTGCTACTATAGATTCCTATATTTTTGAACGTACTTTCCAAAACGTCAATTTGTAATTTTCGTAAAATTTCTTTTCATGAAACGCATTATTTTATATCTCAAGTTTCTACCATTACGCGGAGTACGGATAAATAGGAAATGGAGGTTTTTAAGATGCTCATATAAGTTGCTAGGTTTACCACGATAAAATTTCCAGCTTGCAACTTGACTGGAGATTGTGCTCGCATAATGATAAAGATCAAATTTTTCGACAATTTTCCGGGAAGATCATACCAAACGCTTTGATAAATAAAAAGTCCAACTTCTTCCATTTGAGATTTCAGATAATCTCCGACGAAACTATATACCGTAAGTTGCGTCAAGAAAGTACACAATACCATGAAGCTTTTCCCCATCATGACGACATCATTCATTTTTAATGCTAAGATAAATTGAAACCCTGAAAAAAAGTATTTACGTTTAATAAATTTTAATAATTATATAAATTTCTCTCCCTTGTATAAATTTTTCTCTCTTTTTCTCTTTGTTACATAAGTTATATATTTTATAAATCTCTATTATGAATGTGGTATAAAATATTCACCCATTATACATAAAAGGATGCTGCTAAGAAATAACTGTATCACTAAAACCAAACTGATCGCATCGGCTAGTTCTTTAGCCATTTCTATCAGATAGCTATTTCTTTGAATTAAAGCGTTAAAACGATCATAGACTTGGGAACTTGACACATCAAAGTCGATGAAACTAGCTTTCAAAATTTTCACTTGACCACAAACGTGTAATGTAATGTTGAGAAACAGAGAATCGTTACCTTTACAAAAAGAAAATTTACTGAAAAAGGTACTGAGGCTACTTACCTTATAACACTGTAATAAAAAAAATATAATATTGTGCCTCACATATTTTTCATATTAGTTTTGTGAGAACTAAATTTTTATATAGTTTTGTGCGGATTTAGTCATGTACAGATTCTGAAGTTTATCATTCAGAGTTTTGGTTTTTATATTATTTTCATTGTAATATTTTATATTTTTATAAAAATATGTTTTATCTCTTATTAAATATAATTTCATAACTATGTCTCTAATCTCATTTTTGTATAAATTTTTATGTAAATATTTTTAGTTTTATATTATATACGATTACATTATATATGTAATACCACACAATCAACGAATAGATCATTAAATAATTATTTCAAATAATATTTCTTATTAAAGAAATTATTACAAAGTATTATTTAATGAAGATAATTCTTTAACTTTATATTCTCTAAGCATTGTAACACGAAAAATACAAGAAAAAACATAAAATAATAAATAAAATAATAGATATGTTACCGTGATTACAAGTACACGTAAGTACTAGCACAATAAATTCGAAGAGACAGATAATTCTGTATAAGCTTTCCGGGACACTGAAATATTCCAACGCGCATCTTGATGGCATTGGATATTCAAGCACAACGTCCTCTGTTATGTTGATCTGTTTATCTTCTTCATCACCCAAAAGAGGAATTAACGAATATAGCGTGACGCTAAAGTAAGAGAAGCACACCATGAAACAGGAAAGAACCCTTCCGATAAAGGCGTGTCTTCGCATGATGACACGATGCTCTGTGTTTTTAATTGTCAAATAATCATTTCGGGCTGAGCCGTAATTATTAGTTAAATTTTCCGCATAAATGCGAAAACATATTGTCTTCAGCACTCCTAGTACACCGCAAAAGATCAACATAATGCTATCAATATTCTGCTCAGCATCGGTGCAGCCCATTTGAATTTCCATGGTGGGTAAGATCACTATTATGCTCTGTTGATATGATATATTTTCTTATTGAATTAACTTTTTTTACGTCTATAAGGATATGCCCCAATTTCAAATGGCCAGACTTTTGCAAATATTAATATTGAAATGATTATTTAATTATAAATAATTATTCTTTTTAAAATCTGGTAATATTTTTATGTGTTAGACATTTATTATAACGTAGAAGAAATTATTAGAATTAGTTAAGGACTTCAAAAATATTAGAAAATCATATTTTAAATTTTAAAGAGTTTTTATATAATTCGAATATAAATATGAAAAGATGTGAAAATGTTATGTTTAATATAAATGATAAAAATTATGGAAATAAATTCTTTTTCTTTTTTCTTCAAAATATAAAATTAAATTAGACAAGAAGAGATTTAAACTGAGAAATTAGATCTTAAGAATTAAATAATTAAAAAATTGACATTAATAAAAATTTAATATTTTGCATTTTTGATCTAGTTTAATCTTTATATATTGTCAAAAAATGTCATACCATTGCGACATTAATAAAAGAATCATGAAGTAAATAATATATCATATACTAAACATAAAGGAGAAATAAGAACGTTTAAAAAGTTAAAAAATAAGAACGTTTAAAAAATCAGAAAATGTAAAAGAAACATTTCTAATAATTAATTCCCAACATCTTACGACTGTATTCATTTACTCATCCGTTGTTAGTAGAGAAAAAATATTTGACGATGTTTGAATAAGGAAACTCTCGATTCAGAAATTTGAGCATTTGACGTTATTATCGCGAGAGCAAAATTTTTAGTATTGAAGTATCATAGTGACGTTGTTCTATCTATCCCTTCAAATGCAATTATGCGCGATGGAAATCGTTGAAACAATATTCAAAAGATGTGTACCATGCAACAAGTGGCTAAGACGCATCGTATAAGCGAATAGACGTTATAAACTTGAAGCGGCCAGACACCGATGGGCCACGTTAATAATTTGAAGGGGGTCATCGCGTATGCGATATCGTTCTTCCATCGTTCGTTTGCCATTGGATCGAGGTAATGACTATAACTGACGCCAATAACCAAGATATGTTTGATAGACCGATGATATTCCGACTCATTTTTTATTCAGTCTGAGACATATATACCCGTTTATCAGCCTATCCTTACGCTCTTAACGCATTACGATAAAATATAGAGAATTATATTTTTACGTAAAATTGCGTTGCTGAATAAGAATGTACACGATTATATTCTCTAAGTCGTCGTCCGACGAGAAATTGTTTTTTTTCTTATTGTGCAAAATGTTTGGAAAATACTGTGCACGTTTCGTTCACGTACGCGCCGATATTATATTTTATTTTTTTATATTATATTATATATCGACACTATATTTTATTACTTTACCTTGATTTCTTTCCAGCTAAATAATATAAATTCAATCCGACCAAAAGTGAAAATATGTAGCAAATATATAACTTGCTTTTTTATTCTATTTATGCTATAAAAATTAATTGATTGAGACAGTTATACGGGTAAGTAATTCTGCGTGCCAAATAATGTCTAACATAAATATAATAATGCATTAGAAGTAGTATCAAGTATGTACATATTATTGATATTACAGTAAAAATCGATTTATAAAAAATAGATTATTGTGGGTAATAAGTTTATGAAATTTTAATAAACTTTCCTCATGTGTTTCACTTTGAAAGCAATATATTGTGCTTTTTGGAATGTATAATAAAAAATATTTACAGTTTGCACAGAGATTTTCATTCGCACTTTATATTTTATACTTCGAGCATTATACGAAGTACAGACAAATATGAGAAAGAGGTTTTTAAAATGTTCACATAAGTTGACAGATTGATTACGATGAAATTTCCAGCCTGCAACGCGATCGGAGCTTTTGTCTGCATAAGAATAAAGATTACGTTTCTTGCCAATTTCCTAGGAAAATTGTACCAAGCACTTTGATAAATGGAGAGTCCTATTTCTTCCATTTCGGTTTTCAGATAATTCCCGATAAAACTTATACAGTGTTATTTGCGTCAGGATGCCACTCAGTACCATAAAACTCTTTCCTACCATTACTGTATTATTGACTTTCAATGCTAAAATAAGCTGGAATCCTGAAAAGAATATTTGCTGAATGTAAATATTATTTTATACATTTATAATTTCGCGGAACAATTTAATGGTATAATATTCACCCATTATACATAATAATATGCTGATAAGAAATAGCTCTATCACCAATACGAAACTGATCAGATCGACAAGTTTCCTTATTAGCATTATCAGGTAACGATGTCTCTGAATTAGCACGTTGAAACGATCATGGATTCGCGGACTTGTGTCATCAAAGTTGAGGAAATGGGTCTTCAGAATATTTACTTGACCACAAACATGCAACGTAAAATTGAGAAACATTGCATCGTTACCTTTTGGGAAATGCATTGATTTGGAATTGCCTTATTACATTGATTTACAAAATGGTATTTATTATTTTAACTATACTAAAACTATTTTTGTTAAAAAATTATTATCTCAAAATGTATAGAATAATATTACTTTTATATTTAACATATATATATATATATATATATATATATATATATATATATGAGATATCAATTATATACCATACATTGCATAAGGCGCAAAATTTTTAAAATGTTAAATATCGTATTATATTCAATTATTTTCGTTTAAATTTTATAATAAAGAATTCTGTATTAAATATAATATTCTCGATAAGGGAAACTAAATTTAAAAATATCTCGAGCTATTTCAATAGAATAGTTTGCCGTAAAATCATTCAAATTTCCGCGCTTTTGTATTATTATTTATAATCGATAAAAAGAAACATAATGCTAATAATATAATGCTAATAAAATGAATAAAAAATCTTTATATATATGACATAATATGATTTCAATAAAAATATCCTTCGCAAGTAAGACGCAAAATGTCAAAACAATTAGATAAATATTACCAAGATTAGTTGAAGCCGTCAGCATTAACAGTTTCGACGAGACAGGAGAATCTGTACATGCTTGTTGGAAAATTGAAATATTCCAGAGCGCATCTAGATGGAACTGTATACTTCAATATCGTATTTCTATTCGTTATAATGCGATTACTGATTGATTGTGACCACGATTGATTGTAATTTAAAAAAGGAATTATCCCATATTAGACAACTAAAATAAGCAAACACTAGTAAAGAAGAGCACAAAATTTTTCCTATAAAAGCATGTTTTTGCATAATGTCGCGCTCTTTTGTGTTGTCAATCATCAGATAATCACGTAGAGCAGAATTATAATTAATAGAATTATAATTAATAATTAAACTATTTGCATAAATGCGGAACCATGTTGTCTTCAACACACTGAGCAATCCACAACAGATTAACATCAAACAATCTGTGTTTTGCTCTACGTCAGTACAGCTCATGTATAACTCCATAGACGGCAAAATCACAATTAGGCTCTGTTAATATGTACATTTCCCCGCATATCATGTGTTTCGTAAGAAAAAATATATTTTACTCCTAATCCAATGAATTTTTTATTGATGAATATTTCTATATAAATATGTGAATATTACACATGTATATATTATTTTATTTTCGCTCTTGTTTTCTCCCTTTCTTGCTCAATTTCTTTCAATTTGTCTCAATTTTATCAAGATATAGTATAAAAAAGGTATTCTTTTTTTTCAAAACTGAGGATGTAAAGTATTGTACATTCAAAATATTCATCATAATTGTAAAGATTCAATACACACACACACACACACACACACACACACACACACACACACACACACACACACACACATATGCATATATTTAATTTTATATAATTTTTAAATATATTAAAATAATAAAATTGTATATTATTTTAGAATAATATATATGTTACATAAAATTTATATGAACAGAAAATTAGTGTGACAAAATAACAACACAACAAAATATACAATAAAATTTAATATTATTATTAGAGTTTATATAATTTTTATAAGATATAATTTATTTTATTTCATATATCATTATAATGAAATTATGCAATAAAAGAAATAATGCAAAAATGTATGATATTTCTCGTAAAAGATCATGTCATTTTTACATGAATAAAAAGAAAGATATATAAATAAATAATAAAATTTGAGAGGACTTCTTTATTGCTAAAATATTTCAACGACTAATAATTGTACTGATTTATTCACCTAATGTATCATTACAACTGGCAAAAAATGCTTCACCAAATATTGCGTTACCAAAAATTAATAAAATGAAATCTTAATATTCTCAGTGTTACGTCTAAGTTTTTTCTTCAAAAGCATTACAATATCATTGTTAAAAGTATTCATTATGGTCATATTCCCGAATGTGTCAATGATCTCCAAAAGATGCTTACCGCACAAACAGTGCCTAAGATACAACATAATAACGAATAAATGTCATAAATTTGAAGCGGCCATACGCGGATAAGTAACGTAATCAACTTGAAAGGAGTCATCGCGTATGCGACATCATCCTTCCATCGTTTCCATTGTCAAGATAATGGTCCTAACTGATGCCAATAACTGATGATTCCCTCGCTATATCGATACAACTATAATTCCAATTCATTTTTTATTCAACATAAAACGTTCTTGCATAGATGCTTATCAGTCTGCCTGTATAATCTTAAAGCATCATAACTAAATGCAAATATAACTACGCACTTACGTAAAATTGTCGTTGAGTAAAAATTCATATGATACATCTTCTAAATTTCTACCGTCTAATGAACAATTATAATATTTCTATTTTGAGAGGAAACATGTGCACACATTTTGTTTACTTTTATATTCGTTCATTGCACATTTTATTTCTATATACGTTTGACTAAAAACAAATACACCTAATATAAATGTACCTAATATAAATAAACAAATATACCTAATATAAATCCAATATGTTGAAAAGTGAAAATATATGAGCAAATAATTATTGTCCTTTATTCTATAAACCAACAAAAGCTGATAATTTTCTGCGATGCTGCTAAGTAATTTTATTGTGAGAAAATGTTTAAATATAATAATGAATTAATACTAATTTAAAATATATGTATTTTATTAATATCGTATAAAAATATTAATTTAACATAAGCAGAATATTTTGAGTATAAAGTTTATTAACATTATATTTTTTTTAACGAACATTTTACTTTTTGTAATCTATTTTGAATACATTACATATTTTCATTTAAAATTAAATATTTATAGTTTTCATAGATTTCTTTTTGCAACTAATTATTTACACTTCAAGAATTATACGAAGTACAGACAAGTATGAAAAAGAAGTTTTTAAAATGCTCACATAAGTTGACAGATTAATTACGATAAAATTTCCAGCTTGCAATGCAACAGGAGATTTTGTCTGCATAAGAATGAAGATTACGTTCCTTGCTAATTTTTTAGGAAAATTATACCATGTACTTTGATAAATAGAGAGCCCTATTTCTTCCATTTCAGATTTCAGATAATTCCCGATAAAACTATACAATGCTAGTTGTGTCAGAAAGCCACTCAGTGCAAATAATTTGTTTCCTACCATAATAGTGTTATTGGCTTTCAACGCTAAAATAAGTTCAAATCCTAAAAAAATTTCGTTTGCTGAACGTAAATCTTTTTTTATGAATAAGTAATTTATATATTTTTCTGAATAATCATGAGTGACACAATAATTACCCATTATACATAATAATATACTGATAATAAATAGTTCTATCAACAATACGAAACTGATCAGATCTGCAAGTTCCCTTGTCAGCGATATCAGATCTTGATGTCTTTGAATTAGAGCGTTGAAACGATCACATATTTGTGGGCTTGTGACATCAAAGTTGATAAAATGAATTCTCAGAATATTTACTTGACCACAAACATGTAATGTAATGTTGAGAAACAATGCGTCGTTACCTTCGGGAAATCGATGCATAGAAATATTTTATACTACATTGATATAACAAAACAATATTTATTATTTTATTGTATTTAAATTATTTTTTGTAATTTAAAAATATATACAAATATATATCAAATATAGCATTGTTCTTATATTTAATTTTTATATTTAACAATAAGTATTGCGTAAACGGAAAAAGTTTTGAAAATTAAAAAATTTTTTTATAAATGATATGTGAAACATATAGGAAACCATAATGTTAAATTATTATTTATTCGTTAATTATTATCGTTTAATAAAAGAAACTAATAAATGAATTTTGTATCTAATCTAAAAAAGAACTGAATTTTAATGTAATCTTTAATGTATCGCAACATTTGAATGAAACAGTTTATCATAAAACTATACAAACTGCCTTATATCTTTGCATTGTTATAAAAAAATAGAATAGTGTATAATAATCACAAATTTATTAAAAATTTGTATGTATTTACAGGATGAGTTTTATTTCGTGTATCAATCTTTTTATCATGTAGATTATCGATTGCATAATAAATTGATCGGTACATAAATGTCAATTTTTTTGATCGAGCTAATTTCGTATCGAAAGTTCGAATCTAATGTGTACAATAATAATAATAATAATAATAATAATAATAATAATAATAAATACGTAGTTTTAAGAATAATAATAATAATAAATCCATATTACATAAGTTCAGCTCTTAATTTGCTTTAATTTTACACATTATATTCGAGTCTTTGAAACGATCGATCCAAATAATTGACATTTATGTACTATACCGATCAATTTATTATGCAATCGATAATCTGTATGATAAAAAGAGTGACACACGAAATAAAACTCAGTCTGTATAATATTCTTATCAATAAAAATACTTTTATTTTAAAAATATTAAAAATGTCAGATTCGAAAATATTCAAATTAAACATATACGATAAGTTGGTTTAATGCGAGTCAAATGTCGATTACACAGTTATTTATTGTATAAAAACAAATATGAAAATAATAGATACAGTAAAAAGTTTTTGACCCTATTTTTAGGCCATCTTCAGCGCAAATATAAAAATCAAATAAGGAAATAACAAAGGCTTTACATAATCGGAGTCAAAATTAAGTTAAAATTGAATGATTCGGTGTCACATTTTGACGAAGTCTGTAATAAAATCATTTCAAAATTCGTCAATGAATAAATTAGATTAAAAAAATTAAGAACACAAATTAAAATAATTTAAATAAATAACATAAATTAAAGGTAGAATTAAATAAAATTAAAATTAAACTAAACTACTTTTATTTTAATTGTGGAGGATGGAGATGAGACATAACTACAAAATATTAGTTAATAACAATTACCAATGTTAGCTGTAGTCGCTAATATCATTACAGCAGTTTCGACGAGACAGCACATTTTATACATACTTGTTGGAAAATTAAAATATTCCAGAGCACATCTTGATGGTATAACGTATTCTAGTGTCGCATCTTCGTTTGTTATGTTACTTCGATTATTTATGTCATAATCCAAAATAGGAATTATCCCATATATTAGACAACAAAAGTAATCCATGGCGAATAAGGAAGAGAAAAGGGCCCTTGATATAAAAGCGTGTCTTCTCATAATGTCACGATCCTTTGTATTGTCAATCGTAAGATAATCGTTTAGAGCAGAGTTGTAATTGATGATTAAACTATTTGGATATATGCGAAACCATGTTATCTTCAGTACACAGAGCATTCCGGCACAGATCATCATCAGACAGTCTACATTTTGGTTTACGTCAGTACAACCCAAGTACATTTCCATAGAAGGCAAGATCACAATTAGACTCTGTTGACATTTCCCCATATATAAAGTTTCATATTCAAAAAATATATATTACACAACTCAATAAATATTTACTAATAAATATTTCAATTCAAATACAAAAACTACACACACTTTCTCACTCTCACCCTTCTCCCTCCTACGTTTTAATCTCTCAATTGTCACTATTTCACTCTATAAAATACGAAATAAAATAAGTATTTTTTTTCGACACTAATTTTTACACTAATAATATTAAACATAAATATGTGAATATATAAAATTCTTTATTTATTTACTTATTTATTTTTATGCAATTCATAAATATTTAAATTACACAAATGTATATATTATTTTAAAATACGTACATTATTTAAAATAACATATATATATATATATATATATATATATATATATACAACAAAATTTATATAAATAGATAATTTGTTTATATAAAAATTTGAAGCATATAAAAAATACAATAAAATTTAATATTATTCAGAATTTACTTTACAGAAGTGACATTTTATAATACATTATTATTTTTTTCACATATACGATTGTTATGAAATAAGGAGTGCAGTGCATAATGTTTCGCGTGAAGAATCATGTCACTATATCATTTTTACCTATGATTAAAGGAATCTAATTATATACATAAATAATAAAATTTAAAATAGAAACATTCTTATTGTTAAGTTTTTTTCAGCAACTTATGATCCTGCTGATTTATCTAAATTTACCTAATGATTCTGTTATCTAGAAGGTTATTATTCATCTAAAGAGTTATTACAGTTGATAAAAACATTTCACCAAAGATGGTGTTATCAAAAATTAATAATAAAATCTTAATATTCTCTTCCGTTAAATTAAGGTTTTCTTCAAGGGCGTTGCAATATCAACATAGAATTCATATTTGTCTTTGCACATTCGCGAATGTGACAGTGATCTTCCAAAAGATACTTACCGCACAAAAAGTGCCTAATGCACAACGCAACAACGAATAAATGTCATAAACTTGAAGTGGCCATACGCCGATAGGCCACGTAATCAACTTGAAAGGAGTCATCGCGTATGCGATATCATCCTTCCATCGTTCATTGGTCATTATCGAGATAATGGCTCTATCTGATGCCAATAACTGATGATTCGTCTGCTATATCGATACAACCGTAATTTCAACTCATTCTTTATTTATTATGAAACATGCTTATATACATGCTTATTAGATTACCTCTATACTCTTGAAGCATTATGACAAATATAACTACGCACTTATGTAAAATTGTCGTTGAGTAAAAATTCATACGATACATTTTCTAAAATTATTAACATTCTATTGACCATGTATTTCTATTGAACTACGCGTGTTTATTTACTTATATATGTATATATATATATATATATATATATATATATATATATTCGCTCATTCTACATTTTATTTCGATATACGTTTATTAACAACGTTGATTAACAACAAATATACCTAATATAAATTCAATATGTTCAAAAATGAAAATATGTGAGTAAAACAATTAGTGTTCTTTGTTCTACAAGCCAACAAAATTAACTAATGAAGTTTTGCGATGCTGCTAAGTAATTTTTACTGTGAGAATGTTTAAATATAATAATAAATTAGTACTAATTTTTAAAATTTATGTATTTTATTAATATCATATAAAAATATTGATTTGGCATAAGCAAAATATTGTGGGTAATAAGTTTATTAACCTTATATTTTAACGAACACTTTTTTTGTAATCTATTTTGAATACATTACATATTTCTATTTAAAATCAAATATTTATAGTTTTCATAGAAATTTTTTGATAACAAACTTTTCACACCTCGAGAATTATACGAAGTACAGACAAGTATGAAAAAGAGGTTTTTAAAATGCTTACATAAGTTGATAGATTGATTGCGATGAAATTTCCAGCTTGTAACTCAACTGGAGATTTTGTCTGCATAAGAATGAAGATTACGTTTCTTGCTAATTTTTTAGGAAAACTATACCAAGTACTTTGATAAATAGAGAGCCCTATTTCTTCCATTTCAGATTTCAAATAATTCCCGATAAAGCTATACAATGTTAGTTGTGTCAGAAAGCCACTCAGTGCAATTAAATTGTTTCCTACCATGATAGTGTTATTGGCTTTCAACGCTAAAATAAGCTCAAATCCTAAAAAAAAATTTGTTTGCTGAACGTCAATCTTTTTTTATGAATAAGTAATTTATATATTTTTCTGAATAATCATAAGTGACATAATAATTACCCATTATACATAATAATATACTGATAATAAATAGTTCTATTAACAATACGAAACTGATCAGATCTGCAAGTTCTTTGGTCAACGATATCAGGTCTTGATGTCTTTGAATTAGAGCGTTGAAACGATCATATATTCGTGGACTTGTGACATCAAAGTTGATAAAATGAATTCTCAGAATATTTACTTGACCGCAGACATGCAATATAATGTTGAGGAACAATACGTCGTTACCTTTGGGAAATCGATGCATAAAAATGTCTCATATTACATTGACAACAACAAAACAATACTTATTATTTTATTGTAAATAAAACAAACTATTTACTGTAATTAATATATATATATATATACAGGATGATTCTAAACAAACAATTTGTCTTTAAAATATCAAATTGTTGAATGAATTCTAAGACGATTTTTTCTCTTGCAAAATTTTGTCCGGAGCTTAATTTTTAAACTATAAAGGAAAATAGTTAACTAGTTATGGAACGAGTACGAAAAGTAGGCAGGGACGGCGCGATCAGTTGATTGCTATACGCGATGAGTGTAGCAATTAGTGTATGTGTGTGAGAATGTGCACGTGTTGCAATCAGCTGATCGCGGCGAGCACCCTACGTAATCGCCTAGATCGCGCCGTCCCTGCCTACCTCTCGTACTTGTTCCATAACTAGTTAATTATTTTCCTTTATAGTTTAAAAACTAAGCTCCGGACAAAATTTTGCAAGAGGAAAAATCATCCTAAAATTCAATAACATGATAAGAAACTAGCGTTACGAGCAAGAGAATGTAAATCCTGAAAATTCTTTTTATTGTACCGAAATTTTAAACGAAAAACACGGCATATGCATATATGCCGTGTTTTTCGTTTAAATTTTTTCATTTAACCAAGATATAGATTCTCATTTTTGAGAAATTCTATACAACCCTCTTTACCCCCCTGAAGAGACGTAGACGAGAAAAATGAAGAATCTCAAAAATGAGAATCTATATCTTGGTTAAATGCACCAAGTAAAATATATGCATATGCCGTGTTTTTCGTTTAAAATTTCGCGTACAATCAAAAAGAATTTTTCAGGCATTTACCATTCTCTGTGGCTCGTAGACGCTAGTTTTTTATCATGTTATTGAATATATAACGAGCCTAATTCCTTTCGATTTAATCCTAAAATTCATTCAAGAATATGATATTTTAAACATAAATGTTCATTCAGAATCATCCTATGTATATATATATATACACCAAATATAACATTGTTCTTATATTTAATTTTTATATTTATCATTAAGCATTGTGTAAGCCGTAAAATTTTTCGAAATTTAAAAAAATTTTAAAAAGAACTGAATTTTAACGTATCTCGCAACATTTGAATAAAACAGTTTGCCGTGAAACTATGCAAATTATCTTATGCATATTATCTTTGCATTGTTATCCAAAAATAGAATATATGTATAGTAATCACAAATTTAGTAAAAATTTTTATGTGATAAATTTGTATGTGAATAATGTTCTTATCAATAAAAATACTTTTATTTTAATTTTGGGGAACGGATGGAGATAAAACATAAAATAACTACAAAGTATTAGTTAATAGAGTTACCAATGTTAGCTGTAGTAGCTAATATCATTACAACAGTTTCGACGAGACACCAGATTTTATACATACTTGGTGGAAAATTAAAATATTCCAGAGCACATCTTGATGGTATAACGTATTCTAGTGTCGTATCTTCGTTTGTTACGTTAATTTGATTATTTATGTCCAAAATAGGAATTATCCCATATATTAGACAACAAAGGTAAGCCATGGCGAATAAGGAAGAGAAAAGGATCCTTCCTATAAAAGCGTGTTTTCTCATAATATCACGATCCTTTGTATTATTAATTGTAAGATAATCGTTTAGAGCAGAGTTGTAATTAATAATTAAACTATTTGGATATATGCGAAACCACGTCATCTTCAGCACACCGAGAAATCCACAACAAATTATCATCAGGCAATCAATGTTTTGCTCTACGTCAGTACAACCCATATATATCTCCATGGAAGGCAAGATCACAACTAGACTCTGTTGATACATTTCTATATATATATATATATATATATATATATATATATATATATATAAAATTTTTTAGTTATTTACTTATTTATTTTTATGCAATCTTCAAATATATATATATATATATATATATTATTTTAAAATATGTACATTATTTAAAATAATGTATATGTAACAAAACTTATATTAGATAGATGGTTTTTTTATGTTGAAATGTAAATCATATAAAAAATACATTATTCAAAATTTAACATTATTCAGAATTTACATTACAGAAGTGACATTTTACAATGTATTATTATTTTTTCCACATGCGATTGTTATGATGAAGTTATGAAATAAGGAGTGCATAATGTTTCGCATATAGAATCACTACCATTTATATCATTTTTTACCTATGATTAAAAAAACTAGTTATATAGATAAATAATAAAAGATAAAACTTTCTTATTATTAAGTTTTTTTTTCAACGACTTATACTCCTGCTGATTTATCTAAATTTATCTAATGTTTTCGTCATCTAAAAAGTTAGTACAGTTGATAAAAACATTTCACCAAAGATCGTATTATCAAAAATTAATAATAATAATAATAAAATCTTAATCTCTTCTCTTCTGTTAAATCAAGGTTTTCTACAGGGCGTTGCATTATCAACATAAAATTCATAGTTGTCTTTGCGAGCGTGACAATATGCCGATAAGACAAAAAAAAAAAAAAAAAAAAAATATAGCCGATAGGCCACGTAATCAATTTGAAAGGAGTCATCGCGTATGCGATATCATCCTTCCATCGTTCTCTCGCCATTATCAAGATAATGGTTCTATGTGATAGACGGCCAATAACCGATGATCAGTTCGCTATATCGATACAATATAAGAATTCCAACTCATTCTTTATTCATTATAAAACATGCTTGTATACATGCTTATCAGACTACCTCTATACTCTTGAAGTTACTACTAAATGCAAATATAACTATCCACTTACGTGAAATTGTCGTTGAATAAATATTCATACAATATATTTTCTAAAATTGTTAACGTTCTATTGAACATCTATTTCTATTGAACGGAATTATGTACACGCGTTTTGCTTACTTATATATTTGCCCATTGTACATTCTATTTCGATATAATAGACTAATAACAAATATACCTAATATTAATTCAATAAGTTCAAAAGTTAAAATATGTGATTAAATTAGTGTCCTTTATTCTACAAGCCAACAAAATTAGCTTATGAAGTCTTTTGCGTTACAGCTAATTAATTCTACACTAAGTAATTTTAAGTAATTTTGTGTGAGAAAATGTCTAAATATAATAACATATTAATGGAGAGAGTAATTTCAAGATATATGTGTATATTATTGTTATTGATCATCGTGTTAATGTTATTGATATTGTATTTTTGATATGATATAGGAAAAATTAAATTGGTAAACAGACTACGGTTGAATAAATTATATTTAACATTTCTGCGTGCAGTTCTATTTTGAAAGCTTTATGTATTGTTGTATTGCGAACTTATCAAATATTTACAGTTTGCACAGATTTCTTCTACTCTTCGCACTTTATACTTCACACTCCAAGCATAATACGAAGTACAGATAAATACGAAAAAGAAGTCTTTAAAATGCTCACATAAGTTGACAAATTGACTATAATGAAATTTCCAGCTTGTAACGTGACAGGAGATTTTATCCGCGTAAGAATAAAGACTACGTTTTTTGTCAATTTTCTAGGAAAACTGTACCAGGCACTTTGATAAATAGAAATTCCTATTTCCTCCATTTCAGATTTCAAATAATTCCCGATAAAACTATACAATGTTAGTTGTGTCAGGACACCACTCAGTGCCATTAAACTTTTTCCTATCATGACTGTGTTGTTGACCTTCAACGCTAAAATAAGCTGAAATCCTGAAAAGAATATTTGTCTTGTGATTGGAAATCTTTTCTTATTAATACATAATTTATATATTTTTCTGAACGATTACAAGTCATATGATATTTACCCATTATGCATAGTAATATGCTGATAATAAATAGTTCTATCAGCAATACGAAACTGATCAGATCTGAAAGTTCCCTGGCCAATGTTATCAAGTCTTGATGCCTTTGAATTAATGCGTTAAAACGAGTATATATTCGCGGACTTGTGACATCAAAGTTGATAAAATGGATTTTCAGAATGTTTACTTGACCACAAACATGTAATGTAATATTCAAGAACAATACGTCGTTACCTTTGGAAAATTGATGCACAGAAATGTTTTATTGCATTAATATACAAAATAATACTTATTATTTTATTGTACTTAAACTATTTTTTATATCTTAAAAATATGTATCTTTTAAAAATATATATCTCAGTTATTAAATATAAATTAATATTGTTTTTATATTTAATTTATATATTTAATATTATGCATTGCATAAGTTTTTAAAAATTAAAAAAATTTTTTTACACATGTGATAAAACTTATCATGTATGATTATTATCGTTTACCTCGTTTACCATCGTTTAATAAAAAAACTTTCCATCAAATCTAATGTGGTTAATCAGAAGAACTGATTTTTAATGTATCTAGCAACATCGGATCAAAAGAGTTTGTCGTGAAATTATGCAAACTAGTTTATATCTTTGCATTGTTGTCCAAAAATAAAATAGTGCGTAATAGTCACAATTTAATCAAATCTTTATATCACATTTGAATAATATCTTTATCAATAAAAATTCTTTTATTTTAATTTTGGAAAACGGATAGAGATAAAACATAAAAGAACTATAAAATATTAATAATTAATAATTACCAAGATTAGCTGTAGTCGCTAGTATCATAATAACAGTTTCGACGAGACAGCAGATTTTATATATGCTTGTTGGAAAATTAAAATATTCCAGAGCGCATCTTGATGGTATAACGTATTCTAGTGTCGCATCTTCGTTTGTTATGTTAATCCGATTATTTATATCATAATCCAAAATAGGAACTATGCCATATGTTAGACAACAAAAATAAGCAATGGCCAATAAGGAAGAACAAAGGATCCTTCCTATAAAAGCATGTTTTCGCATAATATTCCGGTCCTTGGTGTTGTCAATCGTTAAATAATCATTTAGAGCGGAGTTGTAATTGATAATTAAACTATTTGCATAAATGCGGAACCATGTTATCTTCAGTGCACCGAGAATTCCGCAACAGATTATCATCAAACAGTCTATGTTTTGCTCTACGTCAGTGCAGCCCATATATATCTCCATAGAAGGCAAGATCACAATTAGGCTCTGTTGATACATTTCCCCATATAAAATGTCCCATGCTCAGAAAATACACATTTCATTTCTAACTTGAATAAATATTTACTAATTAATATTTCTGTTTAAATACAAATACTACACACAAATTCTCACTCTAACGCGTCTTCTCTCTCCCACTCTTGTTCAATTTCTCTCAATTGTCTCTGTCTATTTCATTCTATAAAATATGAAATAAAACAAATGTTTTCTTTCAACGACAATTTTTTGATTCATAATACACATAGTATTAAACACATACATAGTATTAAACATTAATTTATGAAATTATTATTTATATAGACGTACATTCAATTTTAAGCAAGCCTTCAATATTAAAATTAAAAAAATGTATTATTAAATGTATATGCACTATTAAAATATATATGTGACAAAAGTTATATAAATAGATAATTTCTTTGTATCAAATAATATAAAGTATACATAAAATACAAAAAACTTTTTATTTAGAATTTATATATATGACATTTTATAACATATTACTTATTTTGTTTTACATGCGATCATTATGCTAGAATTATAATACATAGAGTTCAGTGCATAATATTTCTCGTAAAGAATCATATCATTTTTTCCTATGATAAAAGAAAAAATTATACAGATAAATAATAAAATTTAAAACAAAACATTTGTGCTGATTTAAAACTTATCTAAAGTGTTATTACAGTTGTCAAAAACATTTTACCAAAAATTAATTATACAAAATCTTGATTTTCTCTCGTTATATCAATATTTTTTCCAGGGCATTGCAATATCAACGTAAAAAATATTCATCGTTGTCTTTGAACATTCACGAATGTTTCAATGATCTTGCAAGAGGTACTTACCGCACAAAAGGTGCCTAAAACAGAGCGCAATAACGAATAAATGTCATAAACTTGAAGTGGCCATACGCCAATAGGCCATGTAATCAATTTAAAAGGAGTCATCGCGTATGCAATATCATCCTTCCATCGTTCTCTCGCCATTATCGAGATAATAGCTTTATCTGATGACAATAACCGATGATCCGCCTGCTATATCGATACAACCATAATTCCAACTCATTCTTTATTCATTATAAAAGAGATGTACACATGTAGATGTACACTTGTAGATGTACACATATTTATTAGATTATCTCTATACTCTTGAAGCATTATGACTAAATGCAAATATAACTGCGCACTTACGTAAAATTGTCGTTGAGTAAAAATTCATACGATACATTTTCTAAAATTGTTAACGTTCTATTGAACATCTATTTCTATTGAATGGAATTATGTGCGCGCGTTTTGCTTACTTATATATTCGTTCATTGTACATTTTATTTCGATATAATATACTTCTAATAAAAATACATAATATAGATTCAATATGTTTAAAAGTGAAAATATGTGAGCAAACAACTTGTTTTTTTTTTTTTTATTCTACAAACCTACAAAATTAAAGTAAAGTCTCTCGCGACACGACTAAGTAATTTTATGTGAGAAAATATCTAAATATAATAATATATTAATAAAGTAGTTTCAAGATATATGTATGTGTATATTATTGTTATTGATTATTGTGTTAATGATATTGATATTATATTTTTGATTTTATATAAGAAAAATTAACTTGGTAAACAGGCTACTGACGAATAAATTATATTTAACATTTCTGCATACAGTTCTATTTTGAAAGCTTTATATATTATTGTACTTCGAACTTATCAAATAATTACAATTTGCACAGATTTCTTTTATTCTTCGCACTTTATTCTTCACACTCCAAGCATAATACGAAGTACAGATAAGTACGAAAAAGAAGTTTTTAAAATGCTTACATAAGTTGATAAATTGATTATAATGAAATTTCCAGCTTGTAACGTGACAGGAGATTTTATCTGCATAAGAATAAAGATTACGTTTTTTGTCAATGTTCTAGGAAATCTGTACCAAGTACTTTGATAAATAGAAATCCCTATCTCCTCCATTTCAGATTTCAAATAATTTCCAATAAAACTATATAGCGATAGTTGTAACAAAAAGAGACTCAGTGCTACTAAACTCTTTCCTACCATTGTGATGTTTTTGACTTTCAATGCGAAGATAAATAGAAATCCTGAAAAATGAATATTTGATTGCTGAAATTTTTGTATGAATTTATACTTCATATATTTCGTTGAACCATAAGTAAATTATACATAATATTCACCCATTATACATAATAATATGCTAATAATGAATAATTCTATCAGCAATACGAAACTTGTCAAATTGGCAAGTTCCCTGGTCAGCGTTATCAAGTAACGATGTCTTTCAATTAGTGCATTGAAACGATCACAGATTCGTAGATTAGTGTCATCAAAGTTAATAAAGCGAATCCTCAAAATCTTTATTTGACCACAAACATGTAACGTAATGTTGAGAAATAACGCGTCGTTACCTTTGGGAAATACATTGATGCACCGAACCATCTTATTGGACTAATTACAAAACAGATATGTATCAAAAAAGATATGTATCACAAAATATAGGAAATATTATTGTTCTTATATTTAATATACAATAAATAAATATCTATCTTTTTCATGATACATATCATTTAATTAAATATATAATAATTTAAAATCATTAGATATGTACTTGAAGTTAATGCATTTATACATATATGTTACATAACATGTATAAGGCGAAAAAAATTTCGAAAAATAAAAATTTTTTTTATACAAACAGTAATAAGACATGATGAGTCTGTGCAATTATTATCTATTATTATCTATTATTTAATAAAATAAAATTTAATAAGCATGATAGAGAATTCGATGGTTTTAGACCGAGAATTCGATGGTTTTAGTCCGAGAATTTCTTGGACTCTCTCAGTGGCACAATCTGTCGCGAAACTAGATACTGTTACACCTTTGTATTATTTGTCCATAATAAATAGGAAAGTGTATAATATTAATGAAATTATTAAAAATCTTTATGTAAATAAAAAATGATATATTCTCTTCAATAAAAATATTTTTATTTATAAGTAATCCTGGAGGAAAGAGTGAGATATAAAATACCTATGAAATATTAGTTACATATTACCAAAATTAATCGTAGAAGCCAACATTACTAAAACAGTTTCGACCAGACAGAAGATTTTATACATGCTTGTTGGAAAATATTTCAGAGTGCATCTTGATGGTATAATGTATTCCAGTGTTATATCTTCATTTGTCATATTAATCCGATTACTTATGTTGTAATTCAAAATAGGCACTATTCCAAACATTAGACAACCAAAGTAAGCAAAAATTAGTAAGGAGGAGAAAATAGTTCTTCCTATAAAAGCATGTTTTCGCATAATATCGCGCTCTTTTGTGTCGTCATTCATCTGATAATCACGTAGAGCAGAATTGTAATTGATAATTAAACTATTTGCATAAATGCGGAACCATGTCATCTTTAGCACACCGAGAAATCCGCAACAGATTAACATTAGGCAATCTATATTCTGCCCCACATCAGTACAGCCCATGTAAATCTCCATAGAGGGCAAGATCGCAACTAGGCACTGTTGATATATTTTCCCACATTATTATGTTTCGTGGACAGAAAAAATATATTTTACTTCAATGAATTTTCACCAATGAATATTTCTATATAAATACGAATGGTACACATACTATCTCACTCTCGCTCTTCTCCTTTTCATGATCAATATCTTTCAATTAATCTCTTGATTAAAACATGATATAAATAAAATGTCTTTTTTAAAAAATAATCTAAGGATCTAAAGTATTGTACATACAAAGTATTAAATGTGTAAATTTGATATATATATATATATATATATATATTTATATTTAATTTTATATAATCCTTAAATATATTAAAATAACGAAAAATGTTATATTATTAAAATAATATATGTGTTACACAATTTATATAAACAGAAAATTATTATGTGAGCAAATATAAAACACACAACAAACTACAAAAAAGTTTATTAATATTTTCATAGAGTTTATGTGACATTTTATAAGATATAATTTATTTTGTTTTACATATATTTCACCTACAATCATTATAACGATATATACGATCATTATTGATGAAATTATGAAAGAAATAGTGCAAATATATAATATTTCTCGCAAAAAATCATATCATATTTTTATACTTATTTATAAAATAATATCATATAAAATATATCATACTATTTTTATGGATAAAGAGGGAGATATATAGATAAATAATAAAATTTAAAACAGAAAACCCTTTTATTGTTAAAATCTTTCAATTTGACTGACAATCGTGCTGATTTAAAACTCATTTATCATTATTACAGCTATCAAAAACGTGTCCCCAAAAAATGCATTACCGAAAAAGTTAATAATATAAAATCTTGATATTTTCATCATTACATCAAAAATTCCTCCAAAGCGCATTGTAATATCAATGTAAAAAATATTTATGATTGTCTTTAACGTTCGCAAATGTATCAAATGATCTTGCAAAAGATACTTACCGCACAAAAGATGCATAAGACACAACGCAATAACGAATAAATGTTATAAACTTGAAGTGGCCATACGCCTAGAGGCCACGTAATCAACTTGAAAGGAGTCATCGCGTATGCGATATCATCCTTCCATCGTTCACTTGCCATTGTCGAGATAATGGTTCTAACTGATGCCAGTAATCGATGATCCGTCTGCTATATCGATGCAACTATAATTCCAACTCATTTTTTATTCAATATAAAATATTCTGTTGTTGGTTGGTCTCTATACTTTCAAAACATTATGACTAGTTGGAAAAACTATGCTTTTACATAAAATTATCCTTGAGTAAAAATTCATATGATACATTTTCTAAATTGTTACCTTCCGTCGAATACTATTTCTTTCGTTAAGCGGAATTATGTGCGTTTTACTTGCGCACATTGTATTTTATTTTATTTCGATATTTGTGTTTAACTAACATTAAATATATCTAAAATAAAGATTTTTTCCATTTCTTCAGCAATGAAAGTATCAGTAAATAAGGTGTTTTTTTTTATTTTACAGACAACAATAACTGCTGAATAATTACGCTATGCGACTAATTCTACGCATGTGCGAAAATGTCTAAATATAATAGTGCATTAGTAGTAATTTCAAGTATAAGTGTATATTATTGATAGGGTATAAAAATTAATTTGCAAATAAATTATTGTGGGTAATAAGTTTATTAAAATTACATTTTAATTAATATTTCTCTTGATGTATTCTATTTTGAGATTTTATAATCTAGTATTTGGAATGTATTCAATATTTATAGTTTGCACATATTTCTTTTATTCGCAGTTTACTTTTCACACTCCGAGAGTTATACGAAGTACAGACAAATACGAAAAAGAGCTCTTTAAAATGCTTACGTAAGTTGATAGATTAATAACAATGAAATTTCCAGCTTGCAGTGCGATTGGAGATTTTGTCTGCAAAAGAATAAAGTTTACGTTTCTTGCTAATTTTTTAGGAAAATTATACCAAGTACTTTGATAAATAGAGAGCCCTATTTCTTCCATTTCAGATTTCAGATAATTCCCGATAAAACTATACAATGTTAGTTGTGTCAAGAATAAAATCTGTACCACTAAACTCTTTCCTATCATAGCGGTGTCATTGACTTTCAACGCATAAATAAATTGAAATCCTGAAAAGAATATTTGTTTGCTGTTTGGAAATTTTTTCCTATGAATATGTAACTTACATATGTATTTCACCGAACAATAAGTCACATGATATTCACCCATTATACATAATAATATGCTAATAATGAATAATTCTATCAGCAATACGAAACTTATCAAATTGGCAAGTTCCCTGGTCAGCGTTATCAGGTAACGATGTCTTTCAATTAGTGCGTTGAAACGATCGCAGATTCGCGGACTTGTGTCATCAAAGTTAATGAAGCGAATCCTCAGAATCTTTATTTGGCCACAAACATGTAATGTAATGTTGAGAAACAACGCGTCGTTACCTTTGGGAAACACATTGATGCACCGAACCATCTTATTGCACTGACAAAATAGATATATATCAAAAAAGATATGTATTACATAATATAGGAAATATTATTGCTCTTATATTTAATATACAACAAATATCTACTTTTTTGTGATACATATCATTTAATTAAAAATGTAATAATTTAAAGTCATTAGATATATACTTGAAATTAATGCATTTGTATATATGTAACATAACATGTATGAGCCGAAAAAAATTTCGAAAATTTACAGTTTTTTTTTATACAAACAGTAATGAGACATGATGAATCCGTGCAATTATTATTTATTATTTAATATAATAAAATTCATGTAATTTAATAAGCTTGATATAGAATTTGATGGTTTTAATTTTCGAACTCTGTCAACGGCACAGTCTGCCGTGAAACCACATCACGCCTTTGTATTATTTGTCCATAATAAATAAGGAAAGTGTATAATATTAATAAAATTATTTAAAAAATCTGTATATAAATGAAAAATGATATATTCTTTTCAATTAAAAAAATGTTTATTTCTAAGTAATCCTGGAAGGAGGGGTGAGATATAAAATATCTATGAAATATTACTACTAATATTAATACTATTAATATTAGTTACATATTACCAAAATTAGTCGTAGAAGCCAACGTTATTAAAACAGTTTCGATCAGACAAAAGATTGTATACATGCTTGTTGGAAAATATTTCAGAGCGCATCTTGATGGTATAACGTATTCCAGTGTCATATCTTCGTTTGTCATATTAATCTGATTACTCATGTTGTAATTCAAAATAGGCACTATTCCAAACATTAGACAACCAAAGTAAGCAAAAATTAGTAAGGAGGAGAAAATAGTCCTTCCTATAAAAGCATGTTTTCGCATAATATCGCGCTCTTTTGTATCGTCAATCGTCTGATAATCACGTAGAGCAGAATTGTAATTGATAATTAAACTATTTGCATAAATGCGGAACCATGTCGTCTTTAGCACACCGAGAAATCCACAACAGATTAACATTAGGCAATCTATGTTCTGCCCCACGTCAGTACAGCCCATGTAAATCTCCAAAGAGGGCAAGATCGCAACTAGGCACTGTTGATATATTTCCCCACATATTATGTTTCGTGGTCAGAAAAAATATATTTTACTTTAATGAATTTTCACTAATGAATATTTCTATATAAATGCTACAAACACTATTTCACTCTTGTTCTTCGCCTGTTCTTGCTTAATATTTTTTAATTTGTCTCTATTTCATTAAAACATAATATAAACAAAGTATCTTCTTTCAAAAAGTAATCAAAGGATGTAAAGTATTGTACATATAAAGTATTAATCATAAGTGCGTAAAAATTTAATATATATATATATATATATGTACACACACACACACACACACACACACACACACACACACACACACACACACACACACACACACACACACACACACACACATAAAATTTTGCATTTTATATATATAATATAAAATTGTATATTACTTTCGAATAATATGTTGCAAAATTTATATGAACAGAAAATTATTATGTGACAAAATATAAAACACATATAAAATTTATATGAACAGAAAATTATTATGTGACAAAATATAAAACACATAACAAAATTTAATATTGTCATTAGAATTTATGTGATTTTTATAAGATATAATTTCTTTTATTTCACATACGATTATTATAATAAAATTATGAACGAAATGTGCAAATGTATATTATTATGTGTATTATTTTATATTATATTATTTTTTTAAAAATGTCATCATACCATTTTTATACACGAGTAAAGAAAAGATATATAGATAAATAATAAAATTTAAAACACAGGGAACTTTTTTATTTGTTAAAATCTAACTGACAATCGTGCTGATTTACAATTCATTAATTGTATTATTAAAAGCTATCAAAAATGTTTCACTAAAAAATGCGTTATCAAAAAAATTAATAATATAAAATCTTGATATTCTCGTCGTTATGTCGAAGATTTCTTCAGAGCGTTGCAATATTAATGTAAAAAAATATTCATGACAGTCTTTCAACATTCGCAAATGTATCAAATTATCTTGCAAGAGATACTTACCGCACAAAAAGTGCATAAGACACAACGCAATAACGAATAAATGTTATAAACTTGAAGTGGCCATACGCCGATAGGCCACGTAATCAACTTGAGAGGAGTCATCGCATATGCAATATCATCCTTCCACCGTTCACTTGCCATTGTCGATATAATGAGTCTAACTGATGCCAATAACTGATGATGAAGTTTGCTATATCGACACAACATAAAAATTCCAATTCATTCTTTATTTATTATGAAACATGCTTATCAGACTGCCTCTATGCTCTTGAAGCATTATGTCCAAATGCAAATATAACTACGCACTTACGTAAAATTGTCGTTAAAAATTCATACGATACATCTTCTAAATTGCTACCGTCCATCGAACAACTATAATATTTCTGTTGTCGAGAGGAATCATGTGCGCGCATTTTGTTTACTTATATATTCACTCATTGTACATTTTATTTCGATATACGTTTGATTAATAACAAATATATCTAATATAGATTCAATGTTCAAAAGTGAAAATATGTGAGCAAACAATTATTGTTCTTTATTCTACAAACCAACAAAATTAGCTGATGAAGTTTTCTGCGATGCTGCTAAGTAATTTTACTACCAGAAAATGTTTAAATATAATAATGAATTAGTATTGATTTAAAATATATGTATTTTTCATTGATATCGCATAAAAAATTGATTTAACACATAAGCAGAACATTGTGAGTAATAAGTTTATTAATATTACATTTTAACGAATACTTTTCTTTTTATATAATCTTTTTGGAATACATTACATATTTCATTTTAAAATAAAATATTTATAGTTTTTGTAGATCTCATTTTGCAACTAACTTTTCATACTTCGAGAATTATACGAAGTACAGACAAGTATGAAAAAGAAGTTTTTAAAATGCTCACATAAGTTGACAAATTGATTGCGATGAAATTTCCAGCTTGTAACTCAACTGCAGATTTTGTCTGCATAAGAATAAAGATTACATCATTTGCTAATTTTTTAGGAAAATTATACCAAGTACTTTGATAAATAGAAAGCGCTATTTCTTCCATTTCAGATTTCAAATAATTCCCGATAAAACTATACAATGTTAGTTGTGTCAGAAAGCCACTCAGTCCAAATAATTTGTTTCCTGCCCTAATAATGTTATTGGCTTTCAATGCTAAAATAAGCTCAAATCCTAAAAAAATTTTTGATTGCTGAACATATATCTTTTTTTATAAATAAGTAATTTATATATTTTTCTGAATAATCATGAGTGACATGATAATTACCCATTATACATAATAATATACTGATAATAAATAGTTCTATCAAAAATACAAAACTCATCAGATCTGCAAGATCCCTGGTCAGTGATATCAGGTCTTGATGTCTTTGAATTAGAGCATTGAAACGATCATATATTCGTGGATTTGTGACATCAAAGTTGATAAAATGGATTCTCAGAATATTTACTTGACCACAAATATGTAATGTAATGTTGAAAAACAATGCGTCGTTACCTTCGGGAAATCGATGCATAGAAATGTCTTATATTACATTGATATAACAAAACAATACTTATTATTTTATTGTACTTAAACTATTTTCTGTAATTTAAAAATATGTATAAATATGTACAAATATGACATGGTTCTTATAATATTTAATTTTGTATTTAACATTACATATTGCGCTGTAAAAGTATTCGAAATTAAAAAAATTTTTTTATAAATGATGTAATAAAACATATATAGAAAATCATAATGTAATTAGTATTGTTTATTCATTAATTATTATCGCTTAACAAAAGAAATTTTGCATCTAATGTGCCTAATCAGAGGAACTGCATTTTAATGTATCTCGCAACATCTGAGTGAAACAGTTTAAAACAATGCAATTTGTCTTATATCTTTGCAATGTTATCCAAAAATAGAATAGTGTATAATAATCGCAAATTAAATTTTAGTAAAAATTTTAATGTATGTTAATAATATCCTTATCAAGAAAAACTTTTATTTTAATTTTAGGAAACGGATGGAGATAAAACATAAAACAACTAACACAAAATATTAGTTAATAATTACCAATGTTAGCTGTTGACACTAATATTATTATAGCAGTTTCGACGAGACAGCAGATTTTATACATACTTGTTGGAAAATTAAAATATTCCAGAACACATCTTGATGGTATAACATATTCTAATGTCGTATCCTCGTTTGTTACGTTAATGCGATTATTTATGTTGTAATCCAAAATAGAAATTATCCCATACGTTAGACAACAAAAGTAAGCCATGGACAATAAGAAAGAGGAAATGATCCTTCCTATGAAAGCGTGTTTTCGCATAATATCGCGCTCTTTTATGTCGTCAATCGTCTGATAATCATGTAGAGCAGAATTGTAACTGATAATTAAACTGTTTGGATATATGCGAAACCACGTCATCTTCAGCACACCGAGAAATCCGCAACAGATCAGCATCAGACAATCAATGTTTTGCTTTAAGTCAATACAACCCATATATATCTCCATGGAAGGCAAGATTACAACTAGGCTCTGTTGATATATTTCCTCATATATAATGTTCCATACTCAAAAAATACGTATTTCACAACTCAATAAATATTTACTAATAAATATTTCAATTTAAATATAAAAGCTACACACATTTCTCACTCTCACGCTTCTTTCTCCTATGTTTACTCAATCCCTCTCAATTGTCACTATTTCATTGTATAAAACGCGAAATAAAACAAGTATTTTTTCAACACTATATAATTTTAGACTCGTAGTATTAAACATAAATATGTGAATATATAAAATTCTTTATTTATTTACACATTTATTTTTATGCAATTCTTAAATATTGAAATTACACAAATGTGTATATTATTTTAAAATATATATATTATTTAAAATAATATATATATGTAACAAAAATTATAGATAGATAATTTCTTGTATCAAAATATGAAGCATACAAAAAATCCAACAAAATTTATCAAAGAGAATCATAAAATTATTCAGAATTCACATTACAGAAGTGACATTTTATAATATATTATTATTTTGTTTCACATACAATTGTTATGATAGAAATAAACTGTGTAGAGTGTAATATTTCGCGTAAAGAGGCATATCATTATCATTTTTACCAATTAAAGAAAATTAATTATATAGATATATAATAAAATTTAAAATAGAAAACTTTCTCATTGTTAGATTATTTTTTTCAGCAACTCACAATCCTACTGATTTATCTAAATTTATCTAATGTCTTCGTCATTTAAAGAGTTATTACAGTTATGAAAACATTTCCCTAAAGATCGTATCACCAAAAATTAATAATAAAATCTTAATATTCTCCTCTGTTAAATTAAGGTTTCTATGGCCGTTGCAATATCAATATAGAATTCATAATTGTCGTTGCACATTCGTGAATGTGACTTGTGAATGATCTTACAAGAAGTACTTACCGCACAGAAAGTGCTTAATGCACAACGCAACAACGAATAAATGTCATAAACTTGAAGTGGCCATACGCCAATAGGCCACGTAATCAACTTGAAAGGAGTCATCGCGTATGCGATATCATCCTTCCATCGTTCATTGGTCATTATCAAGATAATGGCTCTATCTGATAGACGGCCGATAACCGATAACCGATAACCGATGATTCGTTCGCTATATCGACACAACATAAGAATTTCAACTCATTTTTTATTCATTATGAAACATGCTTATCAGACTGCCTCTATACTCTTGAAGCATTATGACCAAATGCAAATGTAACCACGCACTTACGTAAAATTGTCGTTAAAAATTCATACAATACATTTTCTAAATTGCTACCATCCATCGAATAACTATAATGTTTCTGTTGTCAAGAGGAATCATATGCACGCATTTTGTTTACTTATATATTCACTCATTGTACATTTTATTTCGATATACGTATGATTAACAACAAATTTATCTAATGTAGATTCAATATGTTCAAAAGTGAAAATATGCGAGCAAACAATTATTGTTCTTTATTCTACAAGCCAATAAAGTTTCCTGCGATGCTGTTAAGTAATTTTACTATCAGAAAATGTTTAAATATAATAATGAATTAGTACTGATTTAAAATATATGTATTTTTTATTAATATTTTATTAATATAAAAAATTGGTTTGACATAAAAAGAACATTGTACATGATAAGTTTATTCAAATTATACTCTAACATTTTCCTTTTGATATAATCTAGTTTAAATAGATTACATATTTCTATTTAAAAATATCCAATATTTATAATTTTCACAGATCCCTTTTCTCAACTAATTTTTCACACCTCGAGAATTATACGAAGAACAGACAAGTATGAAAAAGAAGATTTTAAAATGCTCACAAATTAACAGATTGATTGCGATAAAATTTTCAGCTTGTAATTCAACTGCAGATTTTGTCTGCATAAGAATGAGGATTACGTTTCTTGCTAATTTTTTAGGAAAACTATACCAAGTACTTTGATAAATAGAAAGCTCTATTTCTTCTATTTCAGATTTCCGATAAAACTATACAATGTTAGTTGTGTCAGAAAGCCACTCAGTGCAACTAAATTGTTTCCTACCATAATAATATTATTGGCTTTCAATGATAAAATAAGCTCCAATCCTAAAAAAAATTTCGTTTGCTGAACGTAAATCTTTTTTTATGAATAAGTCATTTATATATTTTGTATTATATATTATTATTATACATTTTATTCTAAATAATCATGAGTGATTATTTAATGATATATTATTATTATATATTATATATATATATATATATATATATATATATTATTATACATATATTATTATATTATATATTTAATGATATATTATTATTATATATTTTATTCTAAATAATCATGAGTGATTATTTAATGATCATGATAATTACCTATTATACATAATAATATACTGATAATAAATAATTCTATCAACAATACCAAACTGATCAGATCTGCAAGTTTCCGGGTCAGTGATATCAGGTCTTGATGTCTTTGAATTAGAGCGATTGAAACGATCATATATTCGTGGACTTGTGACATCAAAGTTGATGAAATGGATTCTTAGGATATTTACTTGACCACAAATATGTAATGTAATACTGAAAAACAATGCGTCATTACTTTCGGAAAATTAATGCGTAGAAATGTCTCATTACATTAATATAACAAAGCATGGCTGAACTTTCGAAAACGATCCACGCCCGATTGCCATGAATTTTTGTAGAAACACTGTCAGTGATGTCAAATGAATGTCCTTAAACAGATTTTTACCTATTTTTGCTAAAAACTTTTAAAAAAGAGGGCAGAATCCACTATCCACGCATACACTTCTTCATGCGAAGCGAGGTTTCACAGGGTTTTTAATTTTTATATTTAGCATTAGGTATTGCGTAAGCTGTAAAAGTTTTCAAAATTTAAAAAATTTTTTTAGATATGATATAATGAAATATATATAGAAAACCATAATGTGTAATTAGTATCGTTTATTCGTTAAATATTATCATTTTATAAAAGAAATTTTGTATCAAATCTAATGTGCTCAATTAGAAGATCTAAATTTTAATATATCTCGCATCTAAATAAAACAGTTTGAAACTATGTAAACTGCCTTACATCTTTGTATTGTTATCCAAAAATAGAATAGTGCATAATAATCACAAATTTAGTAAAAATTTTTATGCATAGTGTCCTTATCATGCAATTACCAATTACATACTTTTCTTCGAAACAACTATGTTTTCTTTACACCAATTGATTTTTCTCATTATTTTGTACATAAAAGTGTTAAGGTAACATAATCGAAAAATGAATATTTTACAAGATATTTTATGGCTTATATAAAATTAAGAAATAACTTCAAGCCTCATAACTCGAAAAGTACTTAATGAAAACTAACATAATTATAGTGTTTTGGAAAGCTCTCGATCTCAGCTGTAGGAATATGTAATAAAAAATAGGGGATGCTATTTAAGATTTTTATGGTGACCTTACCGTGCTTTTTAAGGTCATGCCAAGATTAAATAGCATATCAGCTAATAGATTTTTTAAGCCATTTTTTCTGTGTGAATCATTTTTTCAAAAAATTAATATTTTCTGAGATATTTAGCTGTTCTGGAACTTTTGCCCTACCCTGTATATATATGTATGTATAATTAAAACTTAAAATTAAACAGGTTATCACGCATGTAATAACATAAATTAAAAATAATTAAATCGAATTATTAATTATTTTATACACCATAAATATATTACAATATTAGTAAAATATATATATTGATGCTGTCGGAATATGGCTATTATTATTCTAATTTATAGATATTTTTCCACCTTTGTTTCTTAAGAATTGTACTAAAGCTTAATTTTAATTATCCTTAAATGTATACCATTCTTTGGTGTTAATAGAATGAATGATTTAGGATCATTTATGTAGGGTATTTCCGTTTTATCGCAAATTTCAACTTTATAGTTTCGTAGTATCTTTATAAGACCAATCTTTGTCTGATAAACAGCAAAGCGCGCACCTGAAAATAAAATAATTATTATTATGAGAAGAATTTCTCGATCAAAATAATGTTACGTGTGATCAAAGCAAACAAAACTAAAGGAAATGTATTTAAATATGTTTATATGTTTTACCAATGCAATTTCTTGGCCCATCACCAAAAGGTAGATAATGCATCGGATGTCTGGTTTGTATTGCTTCGTCACTGAATCTTTCTGGATCAAAAACATCTGGCTTCGGATAAATATCCGGATCTCGATGAATCCCGAAAATCGGAATGAATACTTTTAGATTTTTTGGTATATCAAATGTGCTACCACCAAAAGTATAACTTTTTGTCGATTGCCTTGTAAGATATGGCACTGTTGGATATTTCCGTAAAGTTTCTGCATATATTATGAATAATGTCAGGAAGAATTATATATTTCAAAATTTGTCTGTGAAATTTAAATTATCGGAATGTGTGTGTACATATATGTTTTAAAAATTATTAACAATAAAACTATTGATATTGTATTGATACTGAAAATTAATAGCAAATCTTTCTATTATTAAATTTTTTTGTTGAATGATGTACCTTTAAAAACTTTATCCAAGTAATTCATCTCTTTTACATTTTCATATGATAAATTGCTACCGTGCTTAGTGTATTCTTGATTAATTTCTTCACGCAACTTATCTTGTATTTGTTGATTTAATGCCAATTCATAAAGCGTATTACTCATAGTTGTCGATGAAGTTTCAAAACCGGCAGCAAAAAATGCGAACGCTTGAGCACTTATCAAATTTTCGGACATCTCTGAAATATGATATTTTTTCACAATTTTTTAAATTTTAATTCTTCAAATATTGCATCGAATATTACAAATTATGATTAATCTAATATTTGATACAATTAATGTATAATATTAACGTATAATACAATTAATCTATAAATTTATGTATGCAAAAACTCATAAACATTTTCAAGAATTTAAAAAAAGTATCATTTTGAAAAGTTTTTGTATCACACAAAATTTTCATAACAGTATTTACACAGTACACAGTCATTACTTACTGATATCTCCTACTTTATCTGGATTCTTTTTTATCTCGCGCAGTATATCAATGAAATTATGTCTAATGACATTATTTGTTTCTCTGTAATTCATGATTTCTTTGACAAAACGTACGAAAAAATGGTTGATCTCCATTTGTTTGATGTTTGGTATGATATAACTGAGCATTCTGCCAAGCCATGGAAAGATTTCTTTTATTCTGTATCGTAGAGTATTACTCCAAGTTGCCAGGAAGATCACTTTTCCTATTTTTCGAAATTCGCTGTCTTTGTCTAATAAAGCATTCATCTCGATGCCGAATGCGCACTTACCGATTACATCGGTCGTATATTTTGCCGTTACCTGACAGCAATCTATAGGTTCGTTTTTACTCACCAATTTCTCAATATATTGTTCAAGATAATCGGCGCATTCCGATATTAAAGGGAACATTTCTTTTATTTTACTGGATGTAAAAGCGGGCGACAACCTTATTCTTAAAGGTCGCCATCTTTTATACTCTAATGCTATAAGAGTGCGCGACAGTAGATCAGTCTACAATATAATAAAAACATAATTATAATCAAATAAATTTTCCATTTTTATTAAATTATAACAATTTGATTGAAGAAACTCAAGACTATTTAAAACTAATGATTTTTCAATAATGGTTATTAGAAAATGTTAATTGATCACACAGGCCTGCGAGGTTCAGTTACAAAAAGCAGAGTAGGTGAATCTGATAGATTTTGTGATGCTGGAAACGAATCTGGCCGCAGAATATCGTCAGCACGTCAAGTTTTTGAATAATTTGTAGTTGAATGGCCTAAAAATCGCTATTTTGGCAAATTTCATGAATTTATTGTAAGGAAACTAAATTTTTTAAAATATTTCTGTCAATGGCATCGTATAGTACTCATTTTCATCTTTCAAATCCTTTCGATTACTGCCGCACGATTTTTTTTCGCTCAGATATAAATTATAAGACTGGTCAAGCATAGAGATCCAATAAGCCATTCTAAGTCAACTATGCCTCCTCTCTATCTTACTACGAATCAAAATTAGGGTAAAAACATACATTTTTAAATACCTTTTGTCACCTTTTGAAATTAAAAATGGCGCATCCAATATGTAGAATAAAATCACAATTAAAAGATATAAAATTTAGGAAAATTTATCAAAATGTGTAACAACTGTATTAGATATTTTTCTACAATACTTTTTTAAGCAATCGAACCTCATATATGTCTTTTCAAATTTCAAGATAAATTTATCATATTGATGTCTATGTAAATTTTCTTATAACTTCATATTTATATATCTCAGCGAAAGAAAATCGTGCAGCGATAATGGAAAGTGGATTTGAAAGGTGAAAGTGAGTACCATACGATGCTATTGACAGAAATATTTCAAAAAATTTGGTTTCCCCACAATAAATTCATGAAATTCAAAATGAAAGTCAAAATAGCGATTTTTGAGCAATTCAATTACAAATTACTCAAAAATCTGACGTGCTGCGGAAATACGGCTAGATTCGTTTTCAGCTTCACAAAATCTATCAGATTCACCTACTCTGTTTTTTATAACTGACAAATGCTCAAATTTCGCCTATGTTATTAAAAAATCGTAGTATATAAAATTATCACATTTATAAAAATTCATTTATTGGAATATTAAAATTCGAATATTGTAATATACATTTTAAAATATTTACATACATTTTTATTGACAATAGTTGTTTTGTTGCCAAATTTGGAAAAATCTTTGATAAGAATATCCTTAATTAAATCTGGATCTTTTACAATAAGAGCGGGTGTTACTCCAATGAATATTCCAATCATGGATTCATCTTTATACTCATCGTATATGTCTTTGAAATAATCACCTTCACACTTTTTATTAAGCATAACATCTTTATAATTACCAACAATTGGTATTGGTTTTGGACCACGAATGTCACGTGACTTCCAAAAGTCATAGATCGATGTAAGATAATAATAAATAGCGAGAAATATAGCCACAATACCGCATAGCATTTCCAAAGATCCCATTATTCTGAAATTGCCAATCAATTATTTCGAGCGATGTTTGCTAGAAAAGGAAAAATAATATTTTGTTATAAAAATTCATTTTAGAAAATTCAAAATTTAATGAAGGCTTGTCACGGTCTTATTTAGGGTTCATCCGTCACTGTTATTGACATAGTGAGGCTATTGTTATTCACTAGAAGGATCTTGAGGGATGATCACTCTATAGCATTATGTTCGTCGATATCGTTTCTCACAGAAGGCCAGTCGGAAGTCAGCATGCAGTGTATGCGAACATTTCCACCGACACTTATTTAGTCAGCCAACAACCTTCCAGGGATCTTCCGTAGCAATCGGCATTACATCCATCAAACGAGATTCCAACATCGTTCTGGAGTTGCATATCACCATGTTAAAAAGCGGCATTAGATGTGAGATCTGAATAACTCAGTGGTCTAGAGCAGTTGCCCGGAAAACGAAAGACTCGATTCTCTATCCAATCATTTGCACTCCACATATTTTTCTAGTTCACGATTGTTTTCTAACAATTATTCGTTGGGCTGAAAAGTGTGTGAATGCTTTCTTCACATTATATGCTTCGATGCCATTGCCACGGATAGATCGCTCATTGGCTGAATGTGCGTACAGACACATCTAATCTCTAACACATACATTTTTATTTTTACTAGAAAATACCGAATCCGCAAAGAATTCCAAATTTTCCATTATTTTCAGAAATTGACGTTCAATATAACCGTTTTATTTACCTATTTGAATAAATACTTAATGTTCTATAAAATTGCTGTTTATTAACTCTATAGAAACAAATCTTTCCTGCCTTGTCCAATCTAATAAAAGAGGGGTGGCAATTATTTGCTGGCACACGGGTGGCATTAACGCTTAGGACGGCTCTGGTAACATATATATCGTCAAAATTTAATCATCAAAAGCGAACGATATATCGCTGATGAAATGGCGCAACAGATTGAGTCGTACGAAAAGAAGCTTAGGCATAGCAATGAAAGGGAGGGAGAGGGAGGACTGAAATATAGGAACGGAACGAACATAAAACGTGATCCTATAATTATTCTGAAGGAAAAGATTTTATGATGGAAAGATAAGATATCTAAATTAATTTATCTAAATTAATAGTGTCACTCTGAACGTTCACTATTTTTTTGCCGTGTAATATGGATCATTTCCAAAATTATTCTTCTTAAATATGAAGAAACTATATCCAAAATTTTCTCATTCCATTTAAATTCATGTCCCTTTAATCTGTGTTGAGAGATCACTGAGAGAGATTCAAAGGGCTTATTAATGTTCGATTTATGTACTTTTATTGTAGTAGTGAGTTGTCTATTAGTCTGCTCTACATAAGAAGCTGCGCAATTTTTACAACAGATTTTATAAATTACATTAGAACGATTTTCTGTTGGCAAAGGATCCTTGTAAGTTTTAATAAAACGATTTAATTTATTCAAAACGACAAATGCCAAAGATTTGTTTAAATTAGCGGCAATATTTCTGAATTGTTTAGAGGCACTATTAAATCAAATTAAAAATTGAAATTTAATATACTATTAAATCATTATCTTTTGGATTATGCATAAAAGGGGCCTCTTCTCCGATTTTTATTTTTAAATATGTTATAGGGGAGATCTTTCCGATTAATTTCGTATACATATATATAAGAGTCATACTCAAATAGTTTTGGAGATATAAGCTAAAAAAGAGGATAAAAATAATAAAATCAAAACTAATTTTAACAGAATATATGTATTTGTGAACTTTGCTTTGTACTCTTGCAAAGTACATGCGGAGACATCGCATGTTCCGCCTCCCTCCCTTCGAGGGACACCACTTTTGAAAGATATAACTTAACCCAATCCATGTCTGAAGTGTGGAATATATCTGGCTTCGCATAGAAAGTTACAAATTTATATAAACCATATGAATCATGTAAAGCGAAAATAATATTTCCTACATTTCAGACACAGGTTGGGTTAGGTTATATCTTCCGAAAGTGAAACCCCCCGTAGGGGTAGAGCTGGGGGGGAAACATGCAGTGTCCCCGTATGTACTTTGCAAAAAAAAACAAAGTTTACAAATACATATATTCTATTAAATATATTTCCTTAAACAAATATTACATGGTAAAATTATAATATCTACATTTGCAACTTTCCACGCGAATTTTCGTATTTACTATTTTTATCCTTTTTCAGTCTATATTTCCAAAACTATTTGAGTACGACCCTTATATATATATATAATTAAATAGTTTTGGAATCCCTTATATATACACGAAATTACTCGGGAAGATCTCCCCTATAACATATTTAAAAATAAAACAAATCGGAGCGGAGGCCCCTTTTATGCATAAATACCTCTTTTTGATATTTGTGTTGTCTATCAACACGGTTTGTTTGCCTTTTAATTATTATTTTTATGATTTTTATCTATTAAAACCACTTTTAATTAAAGAAATTTTCTTCTTTATTTTAAATTTTATATAATTTTTCAGTACTTCAAACAAAAGATTTACAATTAGAGAAAAAGATTATTGAAATCTTAATACGACGCAAAATCTATTTGTTTGTTTTATCTTTTTACCAAAAAATTAATAATATATACACAGAAAAGAAAAGTAAGAAAACTGAATAGCTTTCCGCATGTATTAATGCAAACTGTGAATTGAAACTGCACTGCCATCGTTTTTATGTCCTATGCTAATATATGACGTATAATTAATTTAAGATATACAACTTTAAGATATACATCTAGAACACTAAACATTTTTTTACAATATAAAACGGTCTAAGAAAAGATAAAAAACGAAATGTGCAAAGCAAATATTGTTCATCGATGTTGCTAACAAAAGTTTGAGACCTAAGTTGATAATAAGTTTATTTATGTCTTCAAATTAAATATGAAATAACATATAGTATCGAATTAAGTGAACATTTTATGAAAGGGGAGGGAGAGAGAGAGTAGTGATAATTTTTTGTAATACAAAAAAACATGAAATTAAGAAATATATTTTACATAAAGGGACATAAAGTCGGATTAAGTTGTTATGAATTTAAAAAATCGGAGAAATTTATTTCCTATAATTGGGATATAAACTAATAAAATAATTTTTATGAAAATATGTTTTTTTTATATTACTTTTTTTAGCGACTTACAATCCTGTTGATTTATCTAAATTTATCTAATATTTTCGTCATTTAAAGAGTTATTACAGCTATGAAAACATTTTTCAAAGATCGTGCCACCAAAAATTAATAATAAAATTTTAATATTCTCCTTTGTTAAATCAAGGTTTTTGAAGATCGTTGCAATATTAGCATAGAATTCATAGTTGTCTTTGCACATTCGCGAATGTGACAATGATCTTGCAAGAAGTACTTACCGCACAAAAAGTGCTTAATGCGCAACGCAACAACGAATAAATGTCATGAACTAGAAGTGGCCGTACGCCAATAGGCCATGTAATCAACTTGAAACACTGAGAAAAAAATCGGTGAAAAGGTAACGAATGGATTTTATACCGATTACTTTAATCGGAAAGAAAAGAAACCGATCAGATATCCAATCAGAAAATATTGATCGATCGGATATCTGATCACAAAGTTGAAAATTCGAAACTTTCCGATCAGATATCCGATTAAAGTGATCTGTATAATATCCGTTCGTTACCTTTTCATCGGACATTTCTCTCATTTTTCTCAGTGAAGGAGTCGTCGCGTATGCGATATCATCCTTTTATCGTTCATTCCCCATTATCAAAATAATAGTTCTCTCTGATAGACGGCCGATAACCGATGATCCGTTCGCTATATCGACACAACATAAGAATTCCAACTCATTCTTTATTCATGAAGCATGCTTATCAGACTGCCGTTGTGCTCTTGAAACATTATGGAAACGCAAATATAACTGCGCACTTACGTAAAATTGTCGTTGCGTAAAAATTCATACGATACATTTTCTAAAATTGTTAACTGTTGAACATCTGTTTTTATTGAACGGAATTATGTGCGCGCGTTTTGTTTATTTATACTCGCACATTGTAGTACATTTATCTCGATATTCGATTAATAAGCTACAAGTCTATCTAGCAATGCCAGATTATACAATATGTGCAAAAGTAGAAATATGAGCAAATAACTTGCTTTCTTTATTCTACAGATCAACGAAATTAACTGATGAAGAATTACGTGATACGGTTAAGTAATGCTATATATGAGAAAATGTTTAAATATAATGATGCATTAGTAATAATTTAAAATATGTGTATATTATTGATATCATATATAAATTGATTTTTCACAAATAGACAGCTGTGAATAATAATTTTATTAAAATTACATCTTAGTAAGCACTTTTCTCCATGTATTCTATTTTGAAATTAATATATTACGATATTTGGAAGGTATTCAATATTTATATGTAGTTTGCGCATATATATTTCTTTTATTTGTAGCTTACTTTTCATACTCCGACAATTATACGAAGTACAGACAAGTATGAAAAAGAGCTTTTTAAAATGCTCACGTAAGTTGACAAATTGACAATGATGAAATTTCCAGCTTGCAAGGCGACTGGATATTTTGTCTGCAAAAGAATGAAGATTACGTTTCTTGCTAATTTTTTAGGGAAACTGTACCAAGCACTTTGATAAATAGAGAGGCCTATCTCTTCCATTTGAGATTTCAGATAATTCCCGATAAAACTATACAGTGTTAGTTGTGTTAGGAATAACATTTGTACCACCAAACTTTTTCCCATCATAACAGTATTATTGATTTTCAACGCGTAAATAAATTGAAATCCTGAAAAACATATTTGTTTGCTGAGTGTAAATCTTTTCTTATAAATATGTAACTTACATATGTATTTCACTGAACAATAAGTCACATGATATTCACCCATTATGCATAATAATATGCTAATAATGAATAGTTCTATCAGCAATACGAAACTTATTAAATTGGCAAGTTCCCTGGCCAGCGTTATCAGGTAACGGTGTCTTTCAACTAGCACATTGAAACGATCGTAGATTCGCGGACTTATAACATCGAAGTTAATGAAGCGGATCCTCAGGATGTTTACTTGGCCACAAATATGTAATGTAATGTTGAGAAACAACGCATCGTTACCTTTGAGAAACATATTGATGCATTTAATTATTTTATTGCATTAATATTTAAGACACTTGTTAGTATCTCCTCCTATGTATTTAAATTATTATTATATTAATCAAGATATATATACCACAAAATTTAGGAAATATCATTGCTCCTATATTTAATAAGTATATATAACATAACATGTATAAGCTGCAAAAAATTTCGAAAATTTAAAATTTTTTTTTAAAGAAATAGTAGTAAGGTATGATGAGACTGTCATTTATATAAATATTGTCATTTAATAAAAAATTCTAATTTAATATGCCTGATAGAAAATTTAGTGATTTTAATATATGTATCTCTTAAATACATCTCAGAAGCAGTGGAATATATTTTCATGAAACTATGCAAGTTGTAACGCCTTTGCATTATTTGTGCAAAATAAATAAAAAAGAAAGAAAAGTCCATAATATTAATAAAATCATTAAAAATTTTTATATAAATAAAATAATGTCTCTTCCAATTAAATAAAATTATTTTAAGTAATTCTAGGAGAGAGAATAAGACATAAAATACATGTAAAATATTAATTACATATTACCAAGATTAGTTGTAGACGCCAATATCATTACAACAGTTTCGATCAGACAAAAGATTTTATACATGCTCGATGGAAAATTAAAATATTTCAGAGCACATCTTGATGGTAAAGCGTATTCTAGTATCATATCTTCGTTTGTTATATTAATCCGATTACTTATATCGTAATTCAAAATCGGAATTATCCCATATATTAGACAACAACAATAAGTAAGAATCAGTAAGGAAGAGCAAAGAATCCTTCCTACAAAAGCATGTTTTCGCATAATGTCCCGGTCCTTAGTGTTGTCAATCGTAAGATAATCGTTTAGAGCAGAATTGTAATTGATAATTAAACTATTTGCATAAATGCGGAACCATGTGATCTTCAGCGCACCGAGAAATCCGCAACAAATTATCATCAAACAGTCTATGTTTTGTTCTACATCAGTACAGCCCATATATATCTCCATGGAAGGCAAGATCACAACTAAACTCTGTTGATACATTTACCGACATATAATGTTTCATACTCAGAAAAAATATATTTCACTCCTAACTCAATAAATTATACATAATTTAATAATAAATATTTCTATTTAAATGCAAATACTACACACACTTTCTCACTCTCACGCGTCTTCTTTCTCTCCTACTTTTGCTCTATTTCTTTCAATTTTTGTCTCTGTCTATTTCATTCTATAAAACACGAAATAAAAGAAGCATTTTTTTACATTAAATTTTAGACTCATAGTATTATACATAATATTAAACATAAATTTATCAACTTGCGATACTATATATATTTAATTTTATACAATCTTTAAATATTAAAGTAACGCAAATATGTATATTATTAAAATAATGTATACGTAACAAAATTTATATAACAAACATATATAACTTATATAACAAACATGTATAACTTATATAACATATATGTAACAAAACTTAAATAGAAAATTTCTTTGAAATCTTTATTTCTTTGAAATTTATATCAAAATATGAAGTTGAATTTATGTGATACCTTGTAACATATTATTTATATTAATTTCACATGCAAATCTTATGAAGAAATGTTAGAATGTTAGATAGAATTATGAAACAAGGAATGCAGTGTGTAGTATTTTTAATAAAAAATCACATTATTTTTACACATAATTAAAAAAAGACAATAATGATATAATAAAGACATAATAATAAAATTTCAAGCAAAGAACTTGTTAAAATTTTTTAACCACTTACGTGCTGAGTTACAATTTATTTAAGATGTTATTACAGTTGGCAAAATTATTTCATCAAAAATTGAGTTAGCAAAAATTAAATAATATAACATTAAATAATATAAAATCTTGATTGATATTATCTTTCGTTACATCAAGGATTTCTCCAGATTGCTCCATTACCAATGTAGAAAATAATCATGGTTGTCTTTAAACATTCGCGAATGTGTCAATGATCTTTCAAGAGATACTCACCGCACAAAAAGTGCCTAAGATACAACGCAATAACGAATAAATGTCATAAACTTGAAGTGGCCATACGCCTATAGGCCACGTAATCAACTTGAATGGAGTCATCGCGTATGCGAAATCATTCGTCCACCGTTCACTTGCCATTGTCAAGATAATGATTCTAACTGATACCAATAACCGTTGATTCCCTCAGTATATCGACAAAACACAGGAATTCTGATTCATTTTTTATTCATAAAACGTTCTTGTATACATGCTTATCAGTCTGTTCTTATCTCTACACTCTTAAAGCATTATGAGTAATTGGAAATGTAACCAGGCTCTTACGCAAAATTGTCGTTGATTAAAAATTTATGTGATATATTTTCTAAATTGTTACTGTCCATCGAGCAACTCTTTCTTTTGTTGATCGGAATCATATGCATTTTGCTTACGTATACGCAGGCACATTGTATTATATTTTATCTCGTTATTCGCTTGACTAACAATAAATATGCCTAGCTCAGGTACAATACATTTCAAAGTGAAAATATGAACAAGTAAGGTTGCTTTGTTCATTCTCTAAATCAATCAAATTAACTGATGAACACGCGGTATAGCTAAGCAAATTCTACGCGCTATATAGTCTTAAGTAACTTTATGTTAGAAAATGCCTATAAATATAATAATGCATTAATAATGCAGTAATAAGAAGTGTATTTTATTAATATTACACAAGAACTACTTGACTTGGCTTAAATAAAATACTTTGGATAATAATTTATATAATTAAAAAATTATTTCTTTATTAGTATTTCTACTTTTTTCTTCTACGTCTTTTACTTCAAAATATTTCTACTTTGAAAACATTATATTTGTTATTTCGAAATTATATATTTACAGTTTGCACATATTTCTTTTATTCGCATTTTACATTTTACATTCCAACCATAATACGAAGTACAGATAAATATGAAAAAGAGGTTTTTAAAATGCTTACATAAGTTGACAGATTGACTTCGATGAAATTTCCGGCCTGCAATGCGACTGAAGATTTTGTCTGCATAAGAATAAAAATTACGTTTTTTGCCATTTTTCTAGGAAAATTGTACCAAATACTTTGATAAATAGAGAGTCCTATTTCTTCCATTTCAGAGTTTAAATAATTCCCAATAAAACTATACAATGTTAGTTGTGTCAGAAAGGCACTCAATACCATAAAACTCTTTCCTACCATTACTGTATTATTGACTTTCAATGCTAAAATAAACTGAAATCCTGAAAAGAATATTTGTTGAATGTAAATATCTATTTTTATTAATTTATAATTCATATATTTCGTGAAATAATTTAGTGATATAATATTCACCCATTATAGATAATAATATGCTGATAGTGAATAGTTCTATCAGCAATACGAAACTTATTAAATTGGCAAGTTCCCTGGCCAGCGTTATCAGGTAACAGTGTCTTTTAACTAGCACACCGAAACGATCGTAGATTCCCGGACTTGTAACATCGAAATTGAGGAAATGGCTCCTCAGAATATTTACTTGACCACAAACGTGCAATATAATATTGAGAAACATTGCGTCGTTACCTTTTGGAAAATGCATCGATACATGGAATCGTATTATTTTATTGATATACAAAATCATACTTATAATTTTATTACATTAAAACTATTTTTTGTTAAAAAATATCTATTACAAATTATGGCGGATAATATTGATTTTGTATTTAATATATATATATTTATAAAATATGTTGTGCATCCTTCATTTAAGGTGTACAAGCTTTTTTTTTAATCAGATAGTAATGAAACATATTCAGATTTTCATGTGTAATTTTTAACTTTTATTTACTTCATATAATATAAAAAATTGTAATCATCAAATCTATTATATTTAACCAGGACAGGCTTTTAATGAATCAATCTCAATGGAAGATTGCCGTGAAATTATGCAAACTTCCACGCCTTAGCATTATTGCTTTAGTTAATAAAAAGACGTATTAATAATAATTAATTACTAATTATAATAATTAAAATAATTATATATTAATAATAATAATATATTAAGAAATTAAATATCAATAATTAAATAATAATTATAATAATTAAAATAATTAAATATTGAAAATCTATATGAAATTATATATCTTTTTATAAATATATCTATATAAAATTATATACTAAAAAAATTTTTGTTTTTAAATAATTCTTGATAAGATACAAAATACTCATATAAGATAGTTAAATTTTACCAAGATTAGTTGTAGTCGCCAACAATATTAGAACAGTTTCGACCAGACAAAAAATGTGATACATGTATGTTGGAAAATTTAAATATTCCAGAGTGCATCTTGATGGTATAACGTATTCTAGTGTCGTATCTTCGTTTGTTATGTTAATTCGATTACGGATTAACATGTCGTAATTCAAAATAGCAATTATTCCATATGTTAGACAAGAAATGTAAGCAATGGTCAATGAGGAAGAACAGAGAGTCCTTCCTATAAAAGCGTGTTTTCTCATAATGTCACGATCTTTTGTGTTGTCAACCGTGAGATAATCATTTATAGCAGAGTTGTAATTAATAATCAAACTATTTGCATAAATGCGAAACCATGTCGTCTTCAGCACACCGAGAAATCCGCAGCACATTATCATCAGGCAATCTATATTTTGCTCTACGTCAGTACAACCCATATATATCTCCATGGAAGGCAAGATCACAACTAGACTCTGTTGACATTTCCTCATATATAATGTTCCATGTTCAGAAAACATATATTTTATACTTTTATCTCAAATGTATTAATATAATAATAAATATTTCTATAATAATAAATATTTCTATTTAATAATAAATATTTCTATTTAATAATAAATATTTCTATTTAAATGTAAATACTACGCATATTTTCTCACTCATCTTTTCTCTCTCTCACTCTTACTCTATAACTTTCAATTTTTGTCTCTATCTATTTTATTCTATAAAAAAACCACGAAATAAAAGAAGCATTTTTTATACTAATTTTGAGACTCATAGTATTGCACATAGTATTTAATATTAATTTGCAAACTTGTGGTATTATGTATATTTATTAATTTTATGCAATCATTAATATTAAGAGACATGATAGTATCTCGCGTCAAGTTCATGCGAAGCATTAGCGAGGCATTCCGTATATGTTTACGCAAGTCGGGTAATTGTAAGTACATCAGATTATCGAATCTGAATAACAGTTGAACATATTGAATTCTTATTAAGCTTAATCAATAGAGCGAGTTTGAATTGTATAAAGAAATCTTTATTTTTGTACTGTATGATCTATAAACGGAGATAATATTAACGTAAAATCGAAATATGGAAATTTTCAAAAACGTTTTTATTATCAATATTATCAGCAACGCACATATACAGGGATATTCATCAACATACAGGTCAATACGAGAGTTGCCAGCAACGCACATGTACAGGGTATTCATCACATATAGCTCAATACGATGGCTGATTGCCTGTTCATAGGAGCACAAGAAAAATAATAAAAATAATCTTAAATTTAATATAACTCTTAACATTAAATCAATAATCCTCATATATATATGATTGCAATAATATTATAATATTATAATATTAATATTATTGCAATCATATGTAGATGAGGATTATTGATATATAATGTTAAATTTATATTATAGTAATAATATTATAATATTATAACATTCTTTTAGATATATATTTTCAAATATTCATGTCACAAGTTCACTATTCTGTGCAATTTAATTTTTTCTTCTAACAGCTTATTACGCGTTGATAGCGTGGCAGTATACTTCGTCGAAAATGTGCGCGAATGATCTGTATTACCTATTCTTGCATCACCGGTCTTCCGCTCCTATGAGCAGGCAACCCGTCGTATTGAGCTGTATGTTGACGAAACACCCTGTACATAACACGTAGAAAGAGGAAACATACAGTACCTATTCTCGACAGAAGATTAAGCTGGCGATTAATTAATGACATGTGTAATTAATTGCATTTTGAATAATGATAAGCAGAATCCGGATCTTGATGCCGTTTTTTTCATTCCAAGTGCATACTAGCGGCCGAGCACCGCGAAAAGCAGTATCGTCTATGCCGGTCTAGTGATGGTAGCAAAGAAGGCACCGTCACGTAGAAAAAAAAAATATATATACATATATATACATATATTAACATAGAATATATGTTTATTTAATATTATACATAATATATAAAATAATATAATAAAAAAAATATATATATTATATAAAATATAAAATAATATAATAAATTTATTATATTTTTTTTTCTACGCGACGGTGCCCTCTTTGCTGCCATCACTAGACCGGCATAGATGGTACTTTTCGCGGCGATCGGCCGCTAGCATGCACTTGGAGTAAAGATAATGGCAAGATCTGGACTCTGGTGATAAGTTAATATGTGATAATAAATATAATTTAACAAATTAAATATAAATACATACATATAATAAAATAATAAAATAATATATATATATATATAAATAATAAAATTATATATATATATGTGTACATATTAATATAATATCTTGAAGCAAATTAGTACTAAAAAAGGAGTGATATAATCCATAAAAATTTACCTTTTTACCTTTTTAAAAAAGGTAAAAAGAGTGCCAAGTTCATGCACTAATTGTACCCAACTGTTGTGTATATTGTTTATAAAAAAATGATATAAAAAATTGCGACAATTAAGTATAAAAACAAGTTTACAAGTTACTTGTACAAGTTTAAATAGAAATATTTTATTTGAAAATTCTGTTATATAAAATAATTGTTTTAATTTCTAAAAATAATATTAAAAAATTAAAAATTTATTTAAAAATTGAAAACTGAATACTAATATAAAACAAAAAAGTAAAAAAAATTTAATTAAAAAAACTTGATGAAAATATGAAGCCGAATTTATATGACACTTTGTAACACATTAATTGTACTATTTCATATACACACACACACAATCGTATGTAATCGAAAATAGAATATTAGATAGAATTATGAAATAAGGAGTGCATAATATTTTTCGTAAAAAATCATATCATTTTTACACATGATGAAAAAAAGATATACATAATAACAGAATTTCAAGTAAAGAATTTTTTTTAAATCTTTAAAATATTATTTTAAAATCTCTAAAAACTTACCATTTTAAAAAAATTTTGTTAAAATTTTTTAACGACTTACAATCGTGCTGAGTTACAATTCATCTAAGATATCATTACAGCTAGCAAAATTATTTCATCAAAAATTGTTACCAAAATTAATAATATAAAAACCTTAATATTCTCTCTTGTAAAATCAAGGATTTCTCCAGAATGTTCCATTATCAATGTAGAAAATAATCATAGTTATCTTTAAACGTTTGCGAATGTATCAATGATCTGCCAAGAGATACTCACCGCACAAAAAGTGCCTAAAATACAACGCAATAACGAATAGATGTCGTAAACTTGAAGTGGCCATACGCCTATAGGCCACGTAATCAACTTGAATGGAGTCATCGCGTATGCGACATCATCCTTCCACCGTTCACTTGCCATTGTCAAGATAATGATTCTAACTGATGCCAATAACCGTTAATTCCCTCGCTATATCGACAAAACACAGGAATTCTGATTCATTTTTTATTCAACATAAAATGTTCTTGTGTATATGCTTATCAGTCTGCCTCTATATTCTTAAAGAGATTATTATGAGTAATTGGAAATATAACCAGGCTCTTACGCAAAATTGTCGTTGATTAAAAATTTATGTGATATATTTTCTAAATTGTTACTGTCCATTGAGCAATTCTTTCTTTTGTTGAGCGGAATCATATGCGTTTTTACTTACCTATATGCAGGCACATTGTATTACATTTTATCTCGTTCTTTGCTTGACTAACAATAAATATACTTAATATAGTTCAATACGTTTAAAAGCAAAAATATGAACAAATAACATTGCTTTCTTTATTGTACAGACTAACTAAATCAACTGATGAAGAATTAACCGGCACAGCTGAATAATTTTACACTAAGCAATCCTAAGTAATGTTAGAAAATATCTATAAATATAATAATTCATTAATAATAATTTGAATTATGTGTATTTTAATTTGTATTTTATTGATTTTACACAAGAAATATTAACTTGGCTCAAACAATATATTTTAGGTAATAATTTATATAATTAAAAAACTTCATGTATTTCTACTTTGAAAACATTATATCATATTTCGAACTTATCAAATATTTACAGTTTGCAAAGAATTCTATCATTTATATTTTATATTTCACACTTCGAGCATAATACGAAGTACAGACAAATATGAAAAACTGGTTTTTAAAATGCTCACATAAGTTGACAGATTGACTACGATGAAATTTCCAGCTTGCAATGCGACTGGAGATTTTGTCTGCATAAGAATAAAGATTACACTTTTTACTAATTTTCTAGGAAAATTGTACCAAGCACTTTGATAAATAGAAAGTCCTATCTCTTCCATTTCAGATTTCATGTAATTCCCGATAAAGCTATACAATGTTAGTTGTGTCAGGACGCCACTCAGAATAATTAAATTTTTTCCTATCATAACGGTGTCATTGACTTTGAATGCAAAAATAAGCTGAAATCCTGGAAGCAATATTTGTTTGCTGATTGGAAATCTTTTTGTGAATACGTAATTTATATATTTCACTGAACAATAAGTTACATGATATCCACCCACTATACATAATAATATGCTGATAATGAATAATTCTATCAGCAATACGAAACTGATTAGATCGGCAAGTTTCCTGGCCAGCATTATCACATAATGATGTCTTTGAATTAGTTCGTTGAATCGATCATGGATTCGCGGACTTGTGACATCAAAATTGATGAAACGGATCCTCAGAATGTTTGCTTGACCACAAACATGCAATATAATGTTGAGGAACAATGCATCATTACCTTTGGAAAATACATCGATATACGAAACTGTATTATTTTATTGATATACAAAGTCATATTTATAATTTTCTTGCATTTAAACTATTTGTTAAAAAATATGTATTACAAATTATGGCGGACAATATTGATTTTATATTTAATATATACGTATTTATAAAACATATTATGCATATAATATAAGGCGTACAAGTTTATTTTAATCAAATAGTGATAGTACATATTTAGACTGTAATATCTAATTACTTTTGTTTACGTCGTTTATGTTTAACATAAAAAAATTATATTTATCAAATTACGTCTGATTAGGACTGACTTTTAATGAATCTCGGTCGATTTTAATGGAACATTTCGGTGAAACCATGCAAACTTCCACGCCTTAGCATCATTGCTCATAATTAAAATAAAAAATTATATAATATTAATAAAAATATGTATTATTAAAATATAATTAAAAATTAATAATATTAAAAATAATATTAAAAAATCTATATATACAGGATGTAATTGAAAAAGTGAGCAAATAGCGTTATTCCTGATTAAAAATCGAGTTGAAAAGCCCTGAACCATTTTTTTCTATAATGCTTAATAAAACGGTAATTATTGAGTAAAATTGCGCCAATAAGTGCGAACCTTATCAAGAATAACGCTATTTGCTCCGTGGTCGCTTTTTCAGTTACACCCTGTATATATGTGAAGTTATATATCTTTTATACTAAAAAGAATTTTTTGTTTTTAAATAATACTTGATAAGATACAAAATACTCATATAAAATAGTTAAATTTTACCAAGATTAGTTGTAGCTGCCAACAACATTACAACAGTTTCGATCAGACAGAAAATTGTATACATGTATGTTGGAAAATTAAAATATTCCAGAGTGCATCTTGATGGTATAACGTACTCTAGTGTCGTATCTTCATTTGTTTTGTTAATCCGATTACTTATATCGTAATCCAAAATAGGAATTAGCCCATATGTTAGACAACAAATATAAGCAATGGTCAATAAGGAAGAACAAATAGTTCTTCCTATGAAAGCGTGTCTTTTCATAATGTCGCGATCTTTTGTATTGACAATCGTGTGATAATCGTTTAGAGCAGAGTTGTAATTGATAATCAAACTATTTGCATAAATGCGGAACCATGTCGTTTTTAGCGCACCGAGAAATCCGCAACAGATTATCATCAGGCAATCTATATTTTGCTCTACGTCAGTACAACCCATATATATCTCCATGAAAGGCAAGATCACAACCAGGCTCTGTTGATACAGTTTCCCATATATAATGTTTCATGCTCAGAAAATACATATTTCACTTCTAACTCAATAATTACTTATTAATACGTATTTCTATTTAATTGCGAATGCTTCACCTATTTTTTCACTTTTACGCTACTTTTTTCTCCTACTAGCATTCAATTTATTTCAATATGTTTCTCTCTTTCTCTCTCTTTTGTTTTATAAAACGTGATTAATACAAGTGTTTTATAGATACTTTTATAAATATTAATTTATAGATGCAAAGTAGTATTTATTTAATTATACATTTGTATGCTTATTATTTATATATTTGTATATTTATAATTTTATATATATATATATAAAATTTATATATATATATATATATTGTTACGCGCGCGCCCGAGTCGTCACGGCCCTGCCGTTGTCTGGATCCCGTCGGCAAGAAGATTATTTACAAACAACGACTGTCAGCTGAGTTCGGTTCCAGCTGTCTGGCTGCGCGGACGCGAATTTACATCGAGCCGCTGATTTTGTGTTGAATCGTTTTGTGTTATCGTTTGTGTTGCCCTGTGTTGGGAATTAAAGTTTTAGTTCTTTTAGTTCTTTTAAAAGTGTTTATTTATTTCGCGCGACTCGCGAGCGGCCGATCTTTCCGTGCGCGACTTCGATAATAATCGAAGTCCTCGCCGCGGGCGCAACAATATATAAAACTAGGAGAAAAAAATATATGTATTATGTTAATATGCGTGTAATAAAACTTGCATAGATAAAAAATGTCTCTATATTAAAAAGTAAACACACAAGACAATATGATAAATGTAGAAATCCATGAGAAAATAAATGTTAGAACTCTTATACTTCCTTGATCTCAATACATATATATAATATGTCAAGATCACATGACTTTGTATAATATTTAAAGTTTTTAGTCGTCACTCGTTTTTTTAAAAAGCTTATTAAGAAGTTACTAATAATTGAATATTGTTAAAATTATTTAACGTATATGTGACATTTTATAACGTATTAATTATTTTGTTTCATATATGATTGTTATGAAGAAATTATGAAATAAGGAGTGCAGTGCTAATATATTTTTCGTAAAGAAATCATATTATATCTATGCATGATTAAAAAGAGACATGTAAATCATAAAATTTAAAACAGAAAATTTTATTGTTGTTTTTCAACTTATAAATGTGCTAAATTATAATTTATCTAATGTGTCATCACAACTGGCAAAAACGTTTCACCCAAAATTGCATTACCGAAAATTAATAATATAAAATCTTGATATTCTCATCATTACGTTGAAGTTTTTTCCAAAACGTTGCAATATCAATGTAAAAAATATTCATAGTTACCTTTGAATATTCGCGAATGTGTCAATGATCTTCAAATTCTAAAAGATACTTACCGCACAACAAATGCCTAAAGCACAACGCAACAGCGAATAAATGTCATAAACTTGAAGTGGCCATACGCCAATAGGCCATGTAATCAATTTGAAAGGGGTGATCGCGTACGTGATATCATCCTTCCATCGTTCTCTTGCCATTCTCGAGATAACTAATGCTAATAATCGATGGTTGCTATATCGATGCAACGCAGGTATTCCGACTCATTTATTATTCAATATGAAAAATATGCTTCTCAGTCTGCTTCTTTTGAATCATTATGGCTACATTCAAATAACCACGATGGTACGTAAAATTATTATCGTCGAGTAATAATTTATATGATAATTTTCTAAATTGTTATCGTCGAGCAAATATTTCTGTTGAGCGTTATCATGTGCGTTTGACTTACCTGTATACGCGCACATTGTAGTACTTTATTGATATTGGTTTGTTAAACAATAGATATGCACAATAGTATAGATTCAACATGTTAAAAAGTGAAAATATGAGTAAATATTTTCTTTATCCTACAGACTTTTTGTCTCTTTTGTCCTACAGACTAATAAAATTTACTGACAAAAAGAATTACGCGATATAGCTAAATAATTCTATATTAAGTAGTCTTAAATAATTTTATATTGGAAATGTTTAAATATAATAATGTGTGTGTGTGTGTGTGTGTGTGTGTGTGTGCGCGCGCGCGCGCGCGCGCGTGTGTGTGTGTGAGTGCGCGCGCGTTATGTGTATATTATTGATATTATATAAGAAATATTGATTTAACGGAAACAAATTAGGTTAGTAATTTACATTTAACAAACACTTCTTCATGTATTTTTACTTTGATAGATTACTTTTTCCTATTATAACAGTATTATAGCATGTTATTTCGAAATTATCATTTATAATATATTTACAACTTACTCTCTCAATAAATCTCTTTTATTCTCACTTTATATTTCATATACCGAGCATAATACGCAACACAGATAAATATGAAAAAGAGGATTTTAAGATGCTTCTTCATGTATTTCTATTTTGAAAGCATTATATGTTATTTCGAAATTATCATATATTTACAATTTGCACAAATTTTTTTTTATTCGCACTTTACATTTCACACTCCAAGCATAATACGCAGCAGAGACAAATATGAAAAAGAGGTTTTTAAGATGGTCACATAAGTTGACAGATTGATTACGATGAAATTTCCAGCTTGTAACGCGACTGGAGATTGTGTTTGCATAAGAACAAAGATTACACTTTTTATTAACTTTCTAGGAAAATTGTACCAAACACTTTGATAAATAGAGTGCCCTATCTCTTCCATTTCAGATTTTAGATAATTTCCAATAAAACTGTACAATGTTAATTGTATCAAAAAGACACTTAATATAAATGAACTTCTTGATATCATAACAGTATCATGGACTTTTAATGCAAATATAAGCTGAAATCCTGAAAAGAATATTTGTTTACTGAATGTAAATTATTCCTTATAAATATGTAATTTATATATATTACCGAGCTTATCATATGTGTCATAATATTTACCCATTATACATAATAATATACTGATAATAAATAGTTCTATTAGTAATACAAAACTGATCAGATCGGCAAGTTCCCTGGCCAGCATTATAACATGACGATGTCTTTGAATTAGCTCGTTGAATCGATTGTCGATTCGCGAACTTGTGACATCAAATTTGATGAAACGGTTCCTCAGAATGTTTACTTGACCACAAACATGCAATATAATGTTGAGGAACAATGCGTCGTTACCTATTGAAAATATATCGATGCATAAAATTGTCTTATTGTATTGATATTCAAAATCATACTTGTAATTCTATAACATTTAAACAATTTTTTTTGTTAAATAAAATATATATTACATAATATATAAAATATTATTTTTAATACATATTAATAAAATGTATTACGTAAGGCGTAAAGTTTTTAAATCAAGTAATAATGAAATACATTGAGATATCATGTGTAATTATTTTTGTTTAACAAAAAAAATTTTATTCAAATCTAAAACATCTGCACAGATCTGGTTTTTAAAGCATCTCAGATCATCTCAATGAAACGAACAGTTTCCCAGCAAATTATGCAAACTTCCACGCCTTATCATTATTATTCATAATCAATAAAATGGTGCACAATATTAATAAAATTAATAATAATTATTAAAAATAATATTAATAAAAATCATTATACATATAAAATGATATCTTTTTCACTAAAAAAATTTTTGTGATTATATAATACTCAATAAGACACAAAACATTCGTAAAAATAGTGAACTATTATCAAAATTAGTTGTAGGCGCTAGTATTAGTACAATCATTTGGATCAGACAGGAGATTTTATACATGCTTATTGGAAAATTAAAATATTCCAGGGCGCATCTTGATGGTAAAGCGTATTCTAGTATCACATCTTCATTTGTTATATTAATTTGATTTCCTTTGGCATAATTTACAAAAGGAATTATTGCATATGCTAGACCACCAATGTAAGCACCAGCTAATAAGGAAAAGCAAAGAATCCTTCCTATAAAAGCATGTCTTCTCATAATATCGCGCTCCTTTGTGTTCTCAATGGTTAGATAATCGTTCAGAGCAGAATTGTAATTGATAATTAAACTATTTGGATAAACACGGAACCATGTCATCTTCAGCACACCGAGAATTCCGCAACAGATTAACATTAGACAGTCTATCTTCTGCCCTACGTCAGTACAGCCCATGTATAGCTCCATAGAGGGTAAGATCACAACTAGACTCTGTTGATATATTTTCCCATATATAATGTTTCATGCTCAATAAAAATATATTTCAATCCTAACTCACAATGAATTTTTACTAATAAATATTTCTATTTAATTGCGAATGCTTCACATATTTTCTCACTTTCACGCTTCTTTTCTCTCCTACTATTCAATTTATTTCAATATGTCTCTCTCCTTTCCTTCTATAAAATTTGATACAATAAAAATGTTTTTTAAACTAGTTTATAGATGCAAAACTTACTGTTCATATATAAATATATTTTTGTATATTTACTACATATATATATTTCTGTATTTAATTTTACATAATCCTTATATATAAATTGAGAAAGATTTCGGCTCTATGTAATTAATAATACGATACTTAAAAAACGAGCGAGTAAGAGCAAAACGCGGATGGTAGTGCGTAAATTTCTTAAACATTAATAGTTCGCGAAAATTTTAACGTGCACAAGGCATATATATATATATATATATATATATATATATATATACATATATTTTACTTGGTGTATATACCAAGATATAGATTCTCATTTTTGAGAATTCTATAAAACCCTCTTTACCTCCCTGAAGAGATATAGGCAAGAAAAATATCGGGCGAAGTCGTTGAATCAGGAAAATTTTCGCGAAAGAAAAATCGGAAAATTTTCTTAAGTATCGTGTTCATCCTTATACAGGGTGTTTCATTTTAATCCGACCACCTAAATTTCTCGGAACCTAAGCAAGATAGAGAAAAATGTTTTAGACAAAAGTTGTATGGTTTCAAGGGGGACATAAGATGGTGTCATTAGTTTGATCTTGAAGAGCCACCTGAAGGACACGCGAAGGTCAGCTCCAACTTTTTAAATGGGACACCCTATATGCTTTTGCATATTCTTGTAGCTTATCTCAAGAGCTTTCCAAAACACTATAATTAAGTTAGTTTTCATTAAGTACTTTCCAAGTTATGAGACTTGAAATCATTTTTTAATTTTACATAAACCGTAAAATATCTAGTAAACCATTCATTTTTCGATTATCTTACCTTGATACTTTTATGTACAAAATAATGAGAGGAATCAATTGGTGTAAAGAAAACACATAGTTGTTTCTAAGAAAAAATATGCAATTTGCAATTAACAATTCCATATTTTTTCTTAAAAACAACTGTATGTTTTCTTTACACCAATTGATTCCTCTCATTATTTGTACATAAAAGTATTAAGGTAAAATAATCGAAAAATGAATATTTTACAAGATATTTTACGGTTTATGTAAAATTAAAAAATGATTTCAAGCCTCATAACTTGGAAAGTACTTAATGAAAACTAACTTAATTATAGTGTTTTGGAAAGCTTTTGAGATGAGCTACAAGAATATGCAAAAGCATATAGGGTATCCCATTTAAAAAGTTGGAGCTGACCTTCGCGTGTCCTTCAGGTGACTCTTGAAGATCAAACTAATGACACCATCTTATGTCCCCCTTGAAACCATACAACTTTTGTCTAAAACATTTTTCTCTATCTTGCTTAGGTTCCGAGAAATTTAGGTGGTCGGATTAAAATGAAACACCCTGTATATATATATATATATATATATATATATATATATATAATATAAGGTAAATATATGTCTTATTTAAATAATATACATGTATAATAAAATAACTTGCATAAATAGAGAAAATATATCTGCGTCAAAAATGAAAAATGTGAAACACAAGATATACATACAGAGATCCAATTTCAGTGACCTTGATTTCAATATATATGTTCTTCAGGTCATGATCTTATATAATATTTAAAAATTTCAGCTATCACTTGTTTAATAAGGCGTTATTAACGATTAATTAAATTGTACAATAGGAATAAAATTAAAATACAATAAGTCAAATTTCTCTATAAATTTTATATTAATCTCTATAATTTTATACTAATTATAAATATTTATAATTATTTAAGTAAATACATGAGCAAAGGGGTATCGTTTATTTACCTATACATTCTTTCAAAAAAATCTAATTTACAAAATAAAAATAAGTGGATTAAATAAGGAATAGCAATGCAAAGTGAAAGTTCTTTTTCCGCCTTAAGCACTTACTTAAATACGTAAATTCAATTAATATAAAACTTATGCTGGAAAAAGTTTAGACTATTTAATATTTGTCTTTATTGTATAAAATTAGTTATTAATGACATTTTAATAAATAATAACGACAATTATAATCTTTTCAATGTTATTCTGGGTCATGATTTTGACAAGATCAAAATTATACATGTTAGGATCAAAGTTAACGGGAATAGATATTTCTATACTTACACATTTAACGAAATTACAACAAAATGTAATATCATTTAACATTTACATGATATTTTGTAACATATTTATTTACTTATTTCGTTTCACATACGATTATTATGATGGAATTATGAAATTGAAACAATGTATATTTCTCTTAAAACCTCATATTATTTCTACACATGATTAAAAAAAAGCATATATAAAGCATAAAATTTAAAACAGAGAACTTTGTTATTTTTAGAATTTTTCAATGACTTACAATCATGTCGATTTACAATTCGTCTAAATTATTATTAAAACTAGCAAAAACTAACATTATAAAATCTTGATATTTTCATCGTTAGATATATGTATATATGTCGAAGTTTTTTTCAAAGCGTTGCAATATCACGTAAAAAATATTCTCTGTTGTCTTTGAACATTCGTGAATATATCAATACGAATCTTCAAATTCCAAAAAAATACTTACCACACAACAAGTGCTTAAGACACAACGCAATAGCGAATAAATATCATAAACTTGAAGTGGCCATACGCCTATAGGCCATGTAATCAATTTGAAAGGGATGATTGCGTATGCGATATCATCCTTCCCTCGTTCTCTCGCCATTGTCGAGATACTGACTCTAACTGATGCAAATAACCAATGATCTGCTCGCTATATAGCACAACGTTTTGATATTCCAACTCATTTATTATTCAATGTAAAAAGTATGCCTATCAGTCTGCTTCTTTTGAAACATTATAGCTAAATTCAAATAACCAGTTCTTATATAAAATTATCGTCCAGTAAAAATTTATATGACACAATTTTCTAAATTCCTCTCGTCGAACAAATTTTTTTTTATTGAGCGGGATTATGTGTGTTTGGTTTATCTATACGCCCACATTGTAGTATTATATTTTATTGATATAGGTTTGTTTAACAATAGATACGTAGTAGTATAGATTCAACATGTTAAAAAGTGAAAATATGAATAAATATTTTCTTTTCTTTATTCTGCAAATTTTTTGTTTCCTTTATCCTAATAAAATAAATTGTCAAAGCATTACGCGACACGGCTAAGTAATTCTATATTAAAAAATGTCTCAATATAATAATGCATTAATATTATTATCAAGTGTGCTTATATTATTGATATTACACAGGAAATATTGACTTGGCGCAAATTAGTTTGAATGGTAATTTGTATTTAACAAACATTTCTTCATGTATTTCTATTTTGAAAGCATTATATGTTATTTCGAAATTATCATATATTTACAATTTGCATAGATTTTTTTTATTCGCACTTTACATTTCACACTCCAAGCATAATGCGAAGTACAGACAAATATGAAAAAGAGGTTTTTAAGATGCTCACATAAGTTGACAGATTGACTACGATGAAATTTCCAGCTTGCAACGCGACTGGAGATTTGGTCTGCATAAGAATAAAGATTACACTTTTTATTAATTTTCTAGGAAAACTGTACCATGCACTTTGATAAATAGAGAGCCCTATCTCTTCCATTTCAGATTTCAGATAATTCCCGATAAAACTGTACAATGTTAATTGTGTCAAAACGCCACTTAGTACAATTGAACTTTTTCCTATCATAACAGTATCATTAACTTTCAATGCAAAAATAAGCTGAAATCCTGAAAAGAATATTTGCTGATTGAAAATTTTTTTTTATGAATATGTATGTTACATATTTATTTCTTTAAACAATAAATCACATGATATTTACCTACTATACATAATAATATGCTGATAATGAATAATTCTATTAGCAATACGAAACTCATCAGATCGGCAAGTTTCCTGGCCAACATTATTACATAACGATGTCTTTGAATTAGCTTGTTGAATCGATCGTAGATTTGCGGACTCGTGACATCAAAATTGATGAAGCGGATCTTCAGAATGTTTGCTTGACCACAAACATGCAATATAATGTTGAGGAACAATGCGTCATTACCTATGGAAAATAAATCAATGCATATAACCGTATTATTTCATTGATATATAAAGCCTTACAATTGTGGTTATAATTGTATTATATTTAAATTATTTTTTTTGTTAAAAAATGTGTATAATAAATTAATATATATAATATTATGAAGTTAAATTATGAAATAATATTGTTATATTTTGTATATACATATTCATAAAATATGCTATGGAACGTATTATATAACAAGGCGTACAAGTTTTTTATTAATCAAGTAGCAGTGAAACATATTTAGATTATTATATATAATTACTTTTAGTTACGTCGTTTATTATAAAAAAACTATTCATCAAATTTAATGCATCTAAAACTAAAACATTTGATAAAGACTAGTTTTTAATCCAGTCAATCTCAATGATATAGTTTCCCGTGAAACCATGCAAACTTCCACGCCTTAGTATTCTTGATTATAATCAACAAAAAAGAGCATAATATTAAAATAATTATATTAAAATATATTGAAATATTATTAAAAATAGCGTTAATAAAAATCTATACGTTTTTGAAATTATATTTTTTTCACTAAAAAAATTTTCAAATAATACTCGATAAGATACAAAATATTCATATAAAATAGTTAAATTTTACCAAGATTAGCTGTAGCCGCTAATAGCATTACAACAGTTTCAACCAGAGAGAAAATTTTGTACATGCTTGTTGGAAAATGAAAATATTCCAGAGCACATCTTGATGGTATCGCGTACTCCAGTGTCATATCTTCATTTGTTGCGTTAATCTGATTATTTATGTCGTGATTCAAAATAGGAACTATCCCATATATTAGACAACTAAAGTAAACAAGAGTCAGTAAGGAAGAGCAAAGAATCCTTCCTACAAAAGCATGCTTTCGCATAATGAGGCGCTCTTTTATGTTGTCAATCGTAAGATAATCGTTTAGAGCAGAGTCGTAATTGATAATTAAACTATTTGCATAAATGCGAAACCATGTCGTCTTCAGCACACCGAGAATTCCGCAACAGATTAATAGCAGACAGTCAATGTTCCGGTCTACATTAGTACAGCCCATGTATATCTCCATAGATGGCAAGATCACAATTAGACTCTGTTGATATATTTTCTTATATATAATGTTTTGTGCTTAATAAAAATATATTTCATTCACATATATATTTCACTCCTAGCTCAGTGAATTTTTATTAATAAATATTTCTATTTAATTGCTTCACCCACGTTTTACTTTCACGCTACTTCTCTTTCTTTAGCATTCAATTTATTTTAATATTTTCTCATAGTTTCTCTCTCTTTTACTCTATAAAACGTGGTATACAGTATTTTTTAGATAATTTAATAAATTCTAAATTATAGATACATAGCATTATTCATTTAATCATACATTTGCATGTTTATTATTTATATATTTGTATATTTAATTTTATATAATCCTTATATATTAAAAAGTAAGACCAAAAAAAATATATATATTATTTAAATAATATTTGTATACATGTGTAAAATAAAACTTAAGTAGATACATAAATAGATAATGTCTCTGTGTCAAAATGTAAAACACACAAGAAAATATGATAAATGTGAAAATCTACGAGATTATATGTAAATGTAAAAGCTCTCACTTTCTCAATGATCTTGACATTAATATGTTGTCAAGATCATGATTTTGTATAATATTTAAAAAGTTTTAGTCATGTCACTCGTTTATTAAAAAGCTTATTAAGAAATTATTAACACTTAAATTATATGATAAGAACCAAAAAGTATTAAACGCAATAAGCTGTACTTCTTTGAATTTTATATTACTTGTATGTTTATAAATATTTAAATAAATATATGAGAGATGAAGGAATATCATCCATTCTTTCGCTGAAAAAGTCTAATTTTTATTCAAAAAATAAAAATAAGTTTGCGTTAGATTAAAATTTCTTAGAATGAAAATGCAGAAGGAAAAGCGAAGCTTCTTCGCCTATCTTAAGAATTTATTTATATATATTTAAATATTCAATTAATATAAAAATTCATGCTTGAAGAAATTCAGATTATCACAGGTAATACTTGTTCTTATCATATAATTTAACTGTTAATAACATTTTAATAAATAATAATAACGATTAAACCCTTTTGAATATCGTTGACCTTGACAAAATCAAAATCATATATTAAGATTAAAGTTATTGGGATATAGATCTCTATACTTGCACATTTATCGAAAATTTAATATTATTTAGCGTACATGTGACATTTTGTAACATATTAATTATTTTGTTTCACATATAATCGTTATGAAGAGATTATGAAATAAGGAGCGTAGTGCTAATATATATTTTTCGTAAAGAATGATATTATATCGCATGATCAAAAAAACACAAATAAATCATAAAATTTAAAACAGAAAATTTTGTTGTTGTTTTTCAATACTTATAATCATGCTGATTTATAATTTATCTAATAACATTATAATAAACGTGTGTAATAAAACTTACATAAATAGAAAAAGTCTCTGTGCCAAAATGTAAAATACAAGATAATAGATAGAAAAGATAGAAATCTACGATATAATATGTTAATATAAAAACTCACTCTCCCGATGACCTTGACTTTAAAATGTAACATGTATATCGAAATTTCTTCAAAACGTTGCAATGTCAATATAAAAAATATTTATCGTTGTTTTTGAACATTTGCGAATATATCAATGATCTTCAAATTCTAAAAGATACTTACCGCACAACAAATGCCTAAAGCACAACGCAACAGCGAATAAATGTCATAAACTTGAAGTGGCCATACGCCAATAGGCCATGTAATCAATTTGAAAGGGGTGATCGCGTATGCGACATCATCCTTCCATTGTTCTCTTGTCATTGTCGAGATAACTGATGCCAATAACTGATGACTCGATCGTTATATCGATGCAACACATACTCACTCATTTATTATTCAATGTAAAAAGTGCTTATCAATATACCTCTTTTGAAGCATTATGGCTAAATTCAAACAATCACGCTCTTATGTAAAATTATCTTCGAGTAAAAATTTATATGATACAATTTTTTTCCAAATTGTTATCGTCGAGCAATATTTTTTGGTTAAGCGGAATTATGTGCGTTTTGCTTACCTGTATACGCCTGTACACATTATAATACTTTATCTCGATGTTGATTTGTTTTACAGTGTATATTTAATACGTTGAAAAGTGAAAATATGAGCAAGTAATCTGCTTTACTCTACAAACTAACAAAATTAACTGACGAAGAATTACGCGACACGGCTAAGTAAGTAATTTTATACTAACAATAAGTAGTCCTCAATATAATTCTAAGTTAAAAAATGTCTAAATAATAATGCATTAATAATAATATGAAGTATGTGTATATTATTGATATTACACAGGAAATATTGGTTTGGCACAAACAAATTAATTTGAATAGTAATTTATATTTAACAAATACTTCTTCACGTATTTTCTACTTTGAAAGCATTATATCACGTTATTTCGAAATTAGCATATTTGCACAGGTCTTTTATTCGCATTTTACATTTCACACTCCAAGCATAATACGAAGTACAGACAAATATGAAAAAGAGGTTTTCAAAATGCTTACGTAAGTTGACAGATTGATTACGATGAAACTTCCAGCCTGTAATGCGACTGGAGCTTTTGCCCTCATAAGAATAAATACTACGTTTCTTGTTATTTTTTTGGGAAAATTGTACCAAGTACTTTGATAAAGAGAAAGCCCTATATCTTCCATTTCAGATTTCAGATAATTCCCGATAAAACTATACAATGTTAGTTGTGTTATAAGACCACTCAGTAATAAACAACTTTTTCCCACTATAGCAGTATTATTGAATTTTAACGCTAAAATAAGCTGAAATCCTAAAAAGATTATTTGTCTATTGATTGAAAATCTTTCTTTATAAATATATAACTTATATATATTGCTGAGAAATTATATGTATTATAATATTCACCCATTATACATAATAATATGCTGATAATGAATAATTCTATTAGCAATATAAAATTGATGAGATCGGCAAGTTCCCTGGCCAGCATTATCACATAATGATGTCTTTGAATTAGCTCATTGAATCGATCACAGATTCGCGGGCTTGTGACATCAAATTTGATGAAACGGATCCTCAGAATGTTTACTTGACCACAAACATGCAATGTAATGTTGAGAAACAATGCATCGTTACCTATAGAAAATGCATCAATGCATAAAACTGTCTTATTGTATTGATATACAAAATCATATTTATAATTCTATGACATTTAAACAATTTTTTGTTAAATAAAATATATATTACATAATATATAAAATATTATTTTTATTACATATTATAACATGCATTATGTGAGGCGTAAATTTTTTAAATCAAGTAATAATAAAATACATTGAAACATCATGTGTGATTATTTTTGTTTAACAAAAAAAATTTTATTCATCAAATCTAAAACGTCTGCTCAGAACTGGTTTTTAAAACATCTTGGACCATCTCAATGAAACGAACAGTTTCCCAATTATGCAAACTTCCACGTCTTATCATTATTATCCATAATCAATAAAATGGTGCACAATATTAATAAAACTAATAGTAATTATTAAAAATAATACTAATAAAAATCATTATACATGTAAAATAATATTCTTTTCACTAAACAATTTTTTGTGGCTAAATAATACTCAATAAGACACAAAATGTTTGTAAAAAATAATGAACTATTACCAAGGTTAGCTGTAGTCGCTAGTATTAGTACAATATTTTCGATCACAGAGTAAATTATATATATGTAAGTTGGCAAATTAGATATTCCAATAAGATATTCCAGATCGCGAGATGGCCTATTGTACTGCATATCTTCGTTTGTTATATTAATCTGATTTCCTTTGTCACAATTCAAAGAAGGAATTAATGTATATGTTAAACCACTACAGTAAGCAATGGTCAAAAAGAAAAAACAAAGAATCCTTCCTATAAAAGCATGTTTTTTCATGATATCGCGCTCTTTTATGTTGTTAATCGTTTGATAATCGTTTATGGCAGAGTTAAAATTAATAATTAAATTATTTGCATTAATGCGAAACCATGTCGTCTTCAGTACACCGAGAATTCCGCAACAGATTAACAGCAGACAGTCTATGTTCCGTTCTACATTGTTGCAGCCCATATACATCTCCATAGATGGCAAGATCACAAGTAGACTCTGTTGATATATTTCCTTATGTATAATGTTTTCTCCTTAGTAAAAATATATATTTCATTTCTAACTCAGTGAATTTTTACTAATAAATATTTCTATTTAATTGCGAATATTTCATCCACTTTTTACTTTTACGCTATTTATCCCTTCAACTTGCATTCAATTTATTTTAATATGTCTCTCTTTTTTACTTTAACATGGTATAATACAAGTGTTTTTTAAAATAATTTAATAAATTCTAATTAGATGCATAGTATTATTCATTTAATAATACATTTGTATGTTTATTATCTATATGTTTAATTTTATGTTTTATAATCTTAATATCCTAATATCCTTATATGTATATTAAAAAAGTAAAGCAAAAATATACATATTGTTTAAATAAGAAATAAAACTTGTATAAATAGAAAAAGTCTCTGTGTCAAAATGTAAAATACGCAAGGTAATATGGTTAAGATAGAAATCCACGAGATAAAATATGTAAATTAAGAACTCATTTTTTTCTTCCAATAACTTTGATCTTAATATGTAATATATTGTCAAGATCATGATTTTGTATAATATTTAAAAGGTTTTCCCCGTCAATTGTTTATTAAGAAAATTTATTTAAAAATTATTAACAATTAAATTGTATGATAAGAACAAAAACGTTTTAAATGCAATAACTGTACTTTTTTGAATTTTTATTTTATTACATGATTATAAATATTATTTTAATTGCATGATTATAAATATTTAAGTAATTATATAATAAAGGAATATTGTTCATTTGCTTGCATCTTCTCCTAAGAAAAACCTAATTCTTAAAGATAGAAATTATCAAAAGATAGAAATAAGTTGATAAGTTAGATTAGAATTTCTTGGAATGGAATGCAGAGCGAGAGTAGAACTAACTTTTTCCTGTCTAAATATAATATTCTAAATATAATCTAAATATAGTCTAAATATAATATAATATGAATGCTTAAAAGGAAATAGTTAGTTCTACTAACTATTTCCTTTTAAGCATTCATATTGTATTATATTTAGTAGATTATAGTTAGTATTATAGTAGTATTATAGTTAGTAGAACTAATTATTTCCTTTTAAGCATTCATATTATATTTATAAATATTATATTTAAATATTTAATTAATAAAAACTCAAGAAAAAGTTTAAACTATTATATATAATATTGTTCATATAATTTAATTGTTAACAATATTTTAATAAATAATAATAATAACTAAAATCTTTTGATTATTTATGATCATTTATGACAAAATCAAATATGTCAAGATCAAAGTTATCATATGGGAATTATATTATATGGCAACATCAAAATAAAAAATATTCATCGCGCGTTGTCTTTGAACATTCGCAAATATATCAATGATCTTCAAATTTTAAAAGATATTTACCGCACAACAAATGCCTAAGACACAACGCAATAGCGAAAAAATATTATAAACTTGAAGTGGCCATACGCCAATAGGCCATGCAATGAATTTGAAAGGAGTGATCGCGTATGCGACATCATCCTTCCATTGTTCTCTTGTCATTGTCGAGGTAACTGATGTCAATAATTGTGATGCCGATGGCTTGGTCGTTATATCGATGCAACGGTATGTATTCTAACTTATTTATTATTCAACGGTAGATATTCTAACTTATTTATTATTCAACGCGAACGGTAGGTATTCTAAGTTATTTATTATTCAACGCATTATCAAACGCGAAAATACATGCTTATCAGTGTACTTTTGAGGCATTATGACAAAAAACTACGCTCTTATGTAAAATTATCGTCGAGTAAAAATTTATATAATACAATTTCTAAATTGTTATTGTCGAGTAATATCTTTTTTTTTTGTTTCAAGCGAGATCATGTGCATTTCGCTTATCTGTATATATACACACATTTTAGTACTTTATCTATATCGGTTTATTATAGTATAGATTCAATGTGAGCAAGTAACCTGCTTTCTTTATTCTAGAGACTAACAAAATTAGCTGACGAAGAATTACGCGATACGGCTAAGTAAATAATTCTATAAAATTGTAAAAGTATGTAGACACGTCTGACCTCCTCCCACATACAGGGTGTTTCCGCAACATACACATCATTAAGTCGGGATGCTCATCGTCAGGGGCATACTTTATTGGACTTGCCGAATAAGATTAGAATGTGAGTTCAACGGGAAGTAAGGAAAGAGAAATTATCATTTTATTATAGTAAATAATTGCGAAATTTAATAATATAGATAAAATATATATTTAATAATATATATTATATACTTATATGTAATATATTTTTAATAATATAGGTATAATAATGTATATAAAATATTTAATTGTAATAAATTGACAAATTTGTTTAATAACATATTATAACATTTAATTATTTAATAATAAATATTAATATATATTAACATATATTAATAATGTAAATTTAATAAATAAATTTGAACAAATAGGGTAAAAAATATAATAAACAAATATAATAAAATATATTTATAATGATAAATATTTTTGATCTTTAAATGTAATAAATTATAATAAATGTTCAATATAACCACCATCTTCTTTTAAACATAAAGCAATTCTGCGGATGAAATTTTCTTTCACGCGACTTATCATGAGAAGTGATCTCCGCACACGCGTTACGAATTCTATTTTTAAGAATTTCTGCATTTTTCAGCAGGGTGTGATATATTTTATTTTTTAAGATGTTTCACATAAAAAAGTCCATAGACGTAAGATCCATGGACAGAGATCACTCTTCTAATAAAAGTGAGAGACAGCAGGATTGCTCTATATTTAGAAGAAAATAGTGATTATATCGAGTGATTATATATTTTAATAATTTATTATATTTAAAAATCAAATATATTTTTTATTATATTTGTCCAAATTTGTTTATTAAATTTTATTTATGTTATTTTAACTATTATTTTTTATCTATTATTAGATAAATACTTTATTTATATTATTAAATTTCACAACTGTTTATTATAATAGAGTGATAAAAACAGATTCCTTTTTCCTTATTCTCATTTTGATCTTATTCTGCGAGCCCAGTAAAGCATGCCCCTGAGTGGGCAGATAGGCAAACCGACTTAATGATGTATATGTTGCGGAAATATTCTGTACATCCCTATCTTTTCTGGAGACTTGCTATGACCTTAATTTGCAATTAACAATTACATATTTTTTCTTAAAAACAACTATGTTTTTTCTTTACACCAATTGATTCTTCACATTATTTTGTACATAAAAGTATTAAGATAAGATAATCAAAAAATGAATATTTTATTAGATATTTTATGGTTTATGTAAAATTAAGAAATTATTTCAAACCTCATAACTCGAAAAGTACTCAATAAAAAAATATTTTATTATAATGTTTTAGAAAGTTCGCGAGATAAACTATAAGAATAAACAATAAAAAAATAGGAGGTTCCATTTGTTTTCAAAATTGAAAGTGATGAAGGGCATTATATAATCTTCAAACGACTGTCCAAAGTCAAATAATTGCCACTATCTTATGCCCCTCTTGAAAACATAAAACTTTTGTCTAAAACATTTTTTTGAAAAACTTCTTTTCGAGATATTCGCGTGGATTTATTATAATGGTATATATATATATATATATATATATATATATATATATATATATATAATACTTTCACGGATTGGTCGATCTACTTTAATTAATATCTCGAAATTTTACGTGACGATTTTTAAAATGGTACATATACTCGTATATGACTTTTTAGTTCGATTTAATGATATTTATATGGTTTTTTTGCGAGAGATTGCACAAACGTCCTGTATGTATAGAGTGTCTGATAACTTTTCGCAATCCCAAAGTGAAAGTAAATTGGCTCAAATTAAGAAGGAAGATCCTCTACTATTTTGCGATCGTTTTGATATTCGCAATAATTAACAAAAAATTAATTAAAGAAGATCTGCGTGAATAAAAGCGCGCGACGATGAGAGTCGTCTCATTATACTAGGCGCGCGGCGAAGCGGTGAGTGGGGAAGGAGTAATGAATCCGGGCCGCACTTATCACTCATATTATATAATATAAATTATATATGTTATAAATAAATATATATATATATATATATATATATATTACAAATATTATATAATATGTATAAATATTATATACATTATTTAATATATTTGCGTCTTGTAAAAATTTGTTTCATTTATAAATATGACAGCCAGCATATAAATTGCAGTGCAGTTAAACTTGAATAATATATCCGAATTGAACATTTTTGGATTTAAATACACGTTTCCTTATTATTTTATAAGATAATCGTTCTTCACGATTCATAAAAATGGTGAAATATTGATGTTATTATCAGCTTCAATATTTCTTTCGTTGATTAGGAATACTACAAAAATTTTTCAACATCATTCAAAATCATCGTGCACGTGACGTATAATATAATAACTACATAATATCTATATTAGTGTTACGATAATTCTCAGTCAGCTTCATAAATAAAAAAGCTGAATATTATCAACTAATAATAATTCTTTAAAATTGCCTTAGAAAATACAGTTTGCGTATATATAGTATGTGAATATAAAAAATCAATTTTTGGAACATCTTTTAATATCTTAATATTCCATAATAATGCACGAAATATTAACAAAAATTCTTATTGAATCCATTTACCTGATTACAGACAATATGTAAATAAATAAATATTTAAGAAATTTAAGAGATGTTTATGAATATATTTTATAATTCTTGCAAAATTGATTATTGTCATATTTATTTTCCGCTTCTATAATTTTGCTCCTCTTGCTGCTAATTCATCTTCAGAATTATCGTTAAATTCTATTGCTTGATCGTGAAGACACTGTTCTTTTCCCCAGTGACCTATATACCTAGATTTTATATAAACATCCTATGAGCAGAAAAGATGTACAAGATATCATCGTTCTAAATATCAGATGCAAAGATTATATTAATTGTACAAATTAAACGAACGATTCACAAATCTAATCTGATCATTATGAGTGGAGGTTCCTCAAATTTTATTTTTAATTTGTGATTTTAATTTGTCATCTTATTATCAGATAATCAACCGCGACATGTTGATAAAACATATTGCTTCCACAGGGTTCACATTTTATAAGGAACTTCTCAAATGATAATAAAATAAATGTGAAATAGGGACGTGTATGTATAGATAACGTATATGTCTATATAGTGTTGTATATGTGTATGTTTACTTTTTGCTCTCCATAGAGACACGAGCGTAGTGGCACGTTGCAGTAGAGGGAAGACCATGCGAGCAGAAGGACGGCGAACACATCGTAGCAGTGAAAATATTGTGGAAAAATCAATAAAATAAAAAACGGATTAAAAATGTGAGACTTCAATGATTAATATGCAAAATTGTAATATATGTGTAAATGCAAGTGTGATTTCAAGCGTTCATTTGTGATATATCTTTATTGGATGCAATAAGCAAAGTGACATCGATGCTACGCAGAAGTCATCAAAGTTGGAGTAAAAGAGAGTAATAATTATCAATATATTTAGATTGTAGAAACAAAGTACAATGATATATTATAATTATCGTAATCTAATGATAACTTTAAGATGCTAAAAATAAATTATTATTACGAAAATATAAGAAAATAAACATTAAATGAAAATGAAAAATTTTATATAAAAAGTCTGACATAGATTTAATCTTTTTATGGCTGCAATAAAAACTGCATGATTTTTCTAAGTATATATGTATACAGTTTTGATGTTACATAAGAATAAATTGTTGATTTATGAATGGATGATTATATTGTGTAATTAATATTAGTTATTTTATTAAAATTATATAAAATAAATACACTCAAAACAGAAATGCAGAATTTAGAAAATTCATTATAAAATATATATAAATTAATATTTTGTGTGTGTATGTGTGTGTATATGTATGTGTATATATACAGGATGTCCCAAAAACTTCGTACAATAATTTAATAGCGTATTCTAGAAATAAAATAGAAGAGAAGAATAAAAGAGAACAATTAAAAATCAAGAATTTTAATATGAAAATGTTAAGGCTACAATAATTTTTAAATCATAAGAGAAATTTTGCTAATAATATCGCATAGAATTCGCGCATTTAGACTTGTAACCACGTTTACACAAATACCAATCTGTTTTATTGATTTTTTCATGTCAGGTAATATTGATTTTTACAGCTGATTTTGTCTTGCATGCGTGTTACTACGTATATCGTACATCATGACAATTAATTAATATTAACAAATTATTAATAATATATAGAAAACATTTAATTCTTTTTTAAATAAAAATTTAAATAATTGTTTAATTATTAGATTTAAACAAAACTATGAAATTTAATATTTTTACATATTTGAAAAATAAGATACATTTGTTTAACCAAAGAAATATTTAATAGAAATTAATATATTATCATATTATAAAATAAAAAAAATAAGATCAATTGTAGATAAAAATTAATATCAGTTCAAAAAACTAGTAACAAATGGCAGATCAGTAAGTGTAATTATGATTAATTAAGTGTAATTTACTTATCTGAATGCATAAGTTCTACATGATATTATTAGCAACCTTTGATCACTTATTTTAAAAACTATCG